ACCACACATACATGGTGCAACGTTATGAGATGAAACCTGAAATCCCTGGTCCAATTGATTATGGGTGGCGAAGAAATGATGATGGTATAAGTAGTACCTGTTTTATTTGAGAGGGAATCTGCGAAAAGGGAGTGTTTTTTTCCCCGTGATTCATGCTCACGTTAGACTGCTTGGTCCGGACGAGAGCCACTAAGGCCAGCCACTGACACTCTAAACTGTTCCCCAACAGCCACCGCCCCATCGTCGAAGAAATAACCACCGCAATTGTACTATTAAGTCCGCGAAGAGCAGTCAAGTAAGCCACCAGGACACCGGGAAGGGCGAGAACGGGGTCGTTCCTCAACCCGTAGCAACGTTCTTCCTAGCGCCGACCAGAGCAGACAGTCCAAAGACATCTTCATCGACGCTTTATTTAATGGTTTTCCACATACAGACACTGTAAATGTTATGCCGGATATTATATCAAATGATGATATTTAAAACCTATTTGTTGGTTAAATTTACTCATTTGAATATCATTGTATTATTTAGAACATTTGGAATTTCGTGAAATAACGAAACAAAACCCCACTATGATTTAAGTTCCTTGGTGGACTCTTTATATGGAATAAACCATATTATATTACTGTGTCTAAATATAATAAATATATTAATCTGTTGCAATAGATTATTCAAACTCAAAATCTGTGTTTTTAAAAAAAGAAGTCTAAAGTTTAATTAACAATTTACCTTTTTAATTGGTACTCTTATGACAAAATGATAGCAATGACGTCACTATTACATCACGGTTACGTCATATATGCCAATTTAGAAGTTTTGACTAAAAATATGCATTGGTCATCCTTTACCCTTTCAGATGATAGTAAATTATGTTCAAGTTTTTTCAGGATCAAAGAACAAGAACCAAAAGATATCCCTACCCCCATTTAGTAAAAGTGCAAAAAAAAAAAAAAAAAAAAAAAAATATAGGTAATGTGACTATCAGAAAATATGCAAAGCGTTTTGTTCTACCTCGGGTAGGGGTATCGCGCCATTTAACTCCCTTTTGGGGGCCTTGGCTGCTAGCCTATATGGCTAAGGCTACAACCACGGCCACGGGTACATGGGGACAGGAACGCGATTATGCCTATTATTGTGCCCCCCCCCCACACACACACACCATCTCTGTGGCACAAGGTGATATTTGGAAAAAAATTATTTTCTGTTTTTTTTTTTTACTTCATTTTTCAACTTTATAATGATTTTTCAACTTCATAATGATTTTTCAATTTCATAATGATTTTTCAAATTTCTTGATCTCGGACGTATTTGTTACTAAATCATATAATATTCACTATCAAACATGTTCATATTAAACAAAATACCATCAGACGTATAATGAAGGAGTAAGGTGAGGCGCTTTTCTCTTGAAAATCATCAATAAAATTGTCTTATTTTACAAATCAACGACTTGGTTCCTTTCGATATCGGATATTCCATGCAAGGAAAACACATGTTCCTGTCCACATGTACCAGTGGTGAAAACGAGTTCACTAAGCATTCTCAGACTTAAGTTGAGAATTTACTCAAACTTGTTCACCTTATTTTAACTAAAATATAGCCCTTTATAATAATTTTGTCGTTTGAATGTATCAGATACATCAATAAGAAACTATGTGCAAAGTTTTGTGTTTCTGTATCAAGGATATTTCTCATAAACAGTGATTGAAAGTTGAGCAAATTTTCAACTTAAGTCTGAGAATGCTTTGTGAACTCGGGGCATGATGAAATACTAAAGGAGACACGGAGAACACATTATGACCTGTTTACGGGACTGTTGAAACCTTATAAAAATGTAATGCTTCTTGATATTGCGATACATGAAAATAAGGGCGACCCGGCTATTACCATTGGTGAAATGATATTATTACAAAAGTTGAATAAAACATTAGTTTATTTCTGTGATTATCAGCGGTGCAAAAACAGCAACTTCAAAGATGCATTGTTGATTATAAAAAACTATACTCCCCAAAATCTCGTAATTCTTTTGCATGGCGGGGGAAATCTAGTAGGATGGATTATTAATGATAAATTAAGAGAGAAAATATTTAATTTGTTTCGGGGATTTCAATTCGTTCTGTTTCCCCAGAGTATCTTTATGTCTGGTGGAGAAAAACACCTACAATATTGTGAAAATTTGTACAGAAGGGAAACTAATTTAACCATGATTCTTAGAGACAGAAACTCTTTTCAACTTGCTCGAAAACATTTTACTGGACAACCAAAACTTATCATGGCACCAGACATGGCTTTTCAGATTGGTCCTGTTCGAAGAATTATTAAACCATTCTATGACATCTTGTGGATTCGTAGGACAGATCAGGAAAAAGTAAGTGACCAAAAACCATCTCTACCAGTTGATCTACAGATTCGTATTGAGGACTGGCTGGGTTGGCCAACACCGCGGAGTAACATCAGCATGGAAAACGCTTATCTTATAGCCAATAATGGACTGATATTCTTACAGAGGGGACGGATGGTTATTACCGATCGTCTTCATGGTCATATCTTAAGTATTTTATTGGATATTCCTCACGTGATCCTCAATAACAAGTGGAATAAAGTCAGTAATTATCATAATACTTGCTAATAACGGGTCTCATGCTATAGAACTAGCTAGACAACTTCTGATAGAATATTCGGATGTTTTACCTGAAAAAAGTTCTGTTTATGACAGTTAAGGATCACATACATTGCGATTAAATCAACTACTGCAATCTCATAAATTATATTAAGCTGAAAATATATTTCTTATAAATATTATTATTTATGGTTTCGAATCCCCGGTTGTACGTGACAAGGAGTAGGGTCGCCTGTCCAACTTCGTGGGTTTTCTCCGGGTCCTCCGGTTTCCTCCCACTGCTAAAGACCCCTACGCGCAAGCGAATTATTGAAATAAAATTGAACCATATGGTCGTCCCGAAATGACCTAGTTTGTGTCGAGTGGACGTTAAACCCCATTTCTCTCTCTCTCTGATTGGTTGAAAGGTCGCGTCGAATGAGTATAATAGTCCCCTAAATCTGCTTGGGTGAGACTGTGTATTGTCAACGATATCACCCTTGGTGAAAGTGGACGTAAAACCTCAGAAACGAACGAACGATCCTTGGGTGGCTTGCCTGCGGTATCAGGCGGAAGAGGACGTAAAACCCCACGAGCGAACCTTGGACGACTCACTGCGATGAATATATCTTGGGATTAGGCAGTGGGAGGAAGCCGGAGGACCCGGAGGAAACCCACGAGATCGGGAAGGCCACCCTACCCCTTGACACGTACAACCGGGGAATCGAAACCCGCGAGTTCACTCATTGACATACTTTAAGATACAAAGCGCATGCGCTAACCATTCGATTCCCCCCCCCCCCCATATCCATTATAAGGAGTTCTCCCTTCTTTCGATTTGCAGATTGCTCGTTTCAATTGAAAAAGATAAAAAGAAATGGGGTTAAACGTCCTACTGTTCTACTCCTATACTGGGCTAATGAAGACGGGCATACACCATACAGTGTGCTATGAGGGAAATTTTGCCCGGGCAGCGGCACTACGGCCTACTCTTATATCGAATTCCAACTGCCAAGGGATCTTTTACGTGCACGCCAATGTGTACAGGGGACCTCGGTTTTTTGTCCCATCCGAACGACTAGACAACTGTCCTTGTCAGGCCTCCATCCTGCATCACTGACAAGGGGAAAACACGCCGAAAAATCTGGATGAACTTTCTCGGCCAATGCAGGGATCGAACACCCGACCTCCAGGCTAGCGACAGCGTCCTACCCACTTAGCCACGTGGTCCCCCTCCTTTCAATTGTGAATTTGATATATATACTTGTATCGTCTGTTAGTTATATATATATATGAATCATCTACATGGTTTAATATGAGCACGCTTATTGTGAGCTTGTGAGTTTTTATTTATTGTTGTATATCAGTGATTATCAGAATGTTAAAATTGTCATAATATTCATTTTATCTGAAAGGGAAGTAACTCCAATTAATGACACATTCAACACCCATTCAAATGTGTCGTGCATTCTGATTGACTGTATTTTGTGAAACTATAGATGATTGGTCAATTCGGAAACAAGCTCAGTTGATGATATGATGTCACGAGATTAGAGTGTGAATGAAGTACAGATTTTCTGAAAAAGGTTCCCTAGTAGAATATTGCCACGCTATTTCCTGACCATGCGCCCCAATTAATAATTGTGTGTTCTCATTTGTCGGATTCATTTTTTCATATTTCTGCTTGAATATAAGTGACACTATTCAAAATGAAATGAAATGGGGTTTTAGGTCCTACTGTTCTGCTCCTAAACTGGGCTAATGAAGACGGACATACGCCATACAGTGTGCTATGCGGAAAATGTTGCCCGGGCAGCGGCACTATGGCCTACTTTTATATCGAATTCCAACTGTCAAGGGATCTTTTACGTGCACGCCAATGTGTACACGGATCCTCGGTTTTTCGTACCATCCGAACGACTAGACAGCTGTCCTTGTCAGGCCCTCCGTCCTCCGTCCTGCATCACTGACAAGGGGAAACCACGCCGCAAAATCTGGATGAACTTTCTCGGCCAATGCAGGGATCGAACACCCGTCCTCCAGGCTAGCGAACCAGCGCCTTACCCACTTATCACCGTGATCCCCGACACTATTCAAATCCTGCTTGTTATAACATTTACTCGTGTTATTTAAGTTGGTAATGGGTCAAAAAGCAAATGCAGGTGGGCACGCCAAAAGTTTCTTTGTCCCCTGGCGCCAAAAACCCTCGCTACACACACCACAGGCCTGGATATAAAAGAAGGAAAATAGAAATAAATAGAACTGGGCAACCAAGATGATAAATCCCTGATCATATTCCCTTTAAATATTGACCTTAATATATGTGACAGGACTAGATAGCCTTATATGTAAATAGAGGATAGTTTATCTATGTATATAAAACTATACATAGCGCACCTGACACAGGTATACAGACCTATAGCTGACATCAACCATAATGTGTACGATATTAATAAGTCTGCTTGTAATTTCTTCAATATTTTCGACCTGCGGTAAGTATCTAATCTCTTATGCTTTTCTTCAGTTGAAATAGTATTTTAAAGTAGCTAAGTCCGTAACTCAATATCATCCAAATTCTTCGACATTGAAAACACGATTCTTTTTGCAATTTAAATCAACATTGGTGTTGTGATCTTACCTGGAAAAGATGAGCTTCTGATATCCAATATTTAAGACAAAATAAACATTTTACCATTGGTACACGAATCGTGACCATGCCTTTCAGCGCCATTTGTAACAAGGTGCTCAAAGAATGAGGCTAGACATATTCCACAAGTCATGTCAAACGGTGATATCATATTCTTATTTGGAGAGCATGCGCAATAAATAATATCGGTGTTGACTGGAACAACCAGACGCTAGAAACCGACTTGCGGTTGAGACTTCTGCCCCCTCTGGCGTATTTCGCCGAACATAACTGATGACAATTCACAGTAAAAAGGACAAGATTGAATGTAAAACAGTTTATATAAATTCATATTACATTATTATATGTGTTGCGACCCTTTTGTGCCAATTTCTAGGTCCCAAATATTAGCGATTTAGCTCCTTTAAACAACATGGAATACCTGTCTGAGTTGTTTCCTAGATGGAATACCTGTCTGAGTTGTTTCCTAGATGGAATACCTGTCTGAGTTGTTTCCTAGGTAAACAGAAAATAGTAAACATTAAATATAAACATATACATTAGCTGATATAAAAAAGGACAAATAAAATGAATTGTAGAGCCATTGAAAATTAAATCTAAATTGATCATCTTTATAATGGTATTTCGAAGAAGAAAACGTGGGGTGGGCGGGCATATACTGAGCAATGTAGTCTGATCTGGGCTGTGCACGGACTCTTACGGTAGGATATGATTACGATATGATTCCCCCAGCATATGATTACGATAGGATTACCCCCGGGATATGATTACGATAGGATTACCCCCGGGATATGATTACGATAGGATTACCCCCAGAATATGATTACCCCCGGGATAAGATTACGATAGGATTACCCCCGGGATATGATTACGATATTATTACCCCCGGGATAAGATTACGATAGGATTACCCCCGGGATATGATTACGATAGGATTACCCCAGGATATGATTACCCCCGGGATATGATTACGATAGGATTACCCCCGGGATAAGATTACGATAGGATTACCCCCGGGATATGATTACGATAGGATTACCCCCGGGATATGATTACGATAGTATTACCCCAGGATATGATTACGATAGGATTACCCCCAGAATATGATTACCCCCGGGATAAGATTACGATAGGATTACCCAAGGATAGGATTACCCCCGGGATAAGATTACGATAGGATTACCCCCAGAATAGGATTACCCCCGGGATATGATTACGATAGGATTACCCCAGGATATGATTACGATAGGATTACCCCCAGAATATGATTACCCCCGGGATAAGATTACGATAGGATTACCCCAGGATATGATTACCCCCGGGATAAGATTACGATAGGATTACCCCCAGAATAGGATTACCCCCGGGATAAGATTACGATAGGATTACCCCCAGAATAGGATTACCCCCGGGATATGATTTCCCCAGAATAGGATTACGATAGGATTACCCCCGGGATATGATTACGATATTATTACCCCCGGGATATGATTACGATATGATTCCTCCAGGACGGTGTATTGTCACCATAAAATCATATTTCAGTATGTTACTATACAGCCAAGTGTATTGCATACATATGACAATGTTTTAATTAATCCATTGTGATTGCATCCATATATTTATAGACTTTAATTCAATTGCATTTTTCTACTCATCTAACTTACGAATTGGCCCAACTTTGACCTAACACTATGTCAAAACTCCGCCCATATATATAAAGGACTGAGTAAGTCAATAATCTGTTCTTGTCCTATGACTCCGTAGCTTATATCATTTAGTTATAGAAAACAAGCCATCATAAAAAGCATATTAAGTAGATTGACGCGCCCGTACGAGTAGCACGTGATAATTGCTGTCCGGGCAAAATGTCCCACATGGCACACTGTATGTCATATGCCCGGTCGGCGCCGAAAAGTAGGACGTTAAACCTCATTTAATTCACTCATTCACATTTAATATGCAATACAATACTAAATTAACTCATATAGTAAATATATACATTACAGTACTAAATAAACTCATATAGTAAATATATACATTACAGTACTAAATAAACTCATATAGTAAATATATACATTACAGTACTAAATAAACTCATATAGTAAATATATACATTACAGTACTAAATTAACTCATATAGTAAATATATACATTACAGTACTAAATAAACTCATATAGTAAATATATACATTACAGTACTAAATAAACTCATATAGTAAAGAACGATAACTATATAAATAATACGAAATATAAAGCCAAATTCAAGATTTATATACTACTAATAACAAACTGTTGGGTTCTCTTGGTTTATAAAGACAATAATCGTGATAATCACCTAGCATGATAGACGAGGAACCAAGTAGATCCAATAAATCGAGCGAAACTGGGTACCGCGTGGGTGCTCACAGAGTTCACTTAAAACCCATGGCAGTTTCAGCTGTTCAGGCAAATTTCTCCTTTCTACCATGGCAGCAACGGTGGCTAAGTGGATAAGAGAGAGAGAGAGAGAGAGAGAGAGGGGGGGAGAGAGAGAGAGAGGGAGAGAGAGAGAGAGAGGGGTTTAACGTCCACTCGACACAAACTAGGTCATTTCGGGACTAACATATGGTTTAACTTTATTTCAATGATTCGCTTGCGCGTAGGGGTCTTTAGCAGTGGGAGGAAACCGGAGGACCCGGAGAAAACCCACGAGGTTGGACAGGCGAACCTACTCCTTATCAGATAAACTAAAATTGATAACATGTGTTCCGGAGAGAGAGAGAGAGAGAGAGAGAGAGAGAGAGAGAGAGACGCCCACTCGACACAAACTAGGTCATTTCGGGACTAACATATGGTTTAATTTTATTTCAATAATTTCTCTCATAGCACACTGTATGGCGTACCCCGTCTTAATTAGCCCAGTTCGGAGCACAACAGTAGGACGTAAAAGATCCTTTGGCAGTTGGAATTCGATATAAGAGTAGACCATAGTGCCGCTGCCCGGGCAAAATGTCCCTCATTAGCCAAGTATAGGAGCAGAACAGTAGGACGTTAAAACCCATTTCATTTTACCATTGTGTGTGTGTGTGTGTGGGGGGGGGGGGCTGAATGGTTAGCGTGTGCACGCTGTATCATTGAGTCAACTGGCGTGGTTTCGAATCCCCGGTTGTACGTGACAAGGAGTAGGGTCGCCTGTCCAACCTCGTGGGTTTTCTCCTGGTCCCCCGGTTTCCTCCCACTGCTAAAGACCCCTGCGCAATCGTATTATTGAAACAAAATCAAACCATATGTTAGTCCCGAAATGACCTAGTTTGTGTCGAGTTGACGTTAAAATCCATTTCTCTCTCGCTCTCTCTCTCTCTTTCTACCATTTCACACGACCATAGTAAACAAACTGTAACCGGATGTTGTGTAATCTCAGTCCATGCAGTATGATGACCAGATATCCTTTGTTATTCTATAAGAGATATACAAAGGCCATTGTATAAGGTTAGGAAATCTTAGACGATAGCGACACTGTACACAGGAAATGGTAGAAACGATAACGCTATTTCAGATATGAAAGTAAAATGAAACGATAGACCATAAGAATATACTATGCGAACTGTTATCAGTTTCCGACTTATGATCAAACTGATCCGCAGCAAATATTTACTTGACCACTAGCCCTCAATATTATCTTTTTTTCTGCTGCAAAATAAATTTTAAAGCGTTTTGTTTTAAATATTATAAAATAAAATAAATATGTTGGAGGTATATATCTGGATGAATATATTTTTTATTTAGTGTAAGAGAATGATTGTATTAAAATTAAACCACAAGTTAGACTCGAAATAACCTATTTGTGTTATAGGAAAGTTGTATTTTTCTGATATTATCATTACACTTTATTTATCTTTCAGTTTATACTAGTCCAATACAAGCCACTTTAACGGTAAAATACCTTTATTCTTTTAGTTTATACTAGTCCAATACAAGCCACTTTAACGGTAAAATAACTTTATTTTTATTTTATATGGCATAGATGAAAATGATATTTCCCTTGGCCCCAAAATAATATTTTTTTATTCACTGAGAGAGAGAGAGAGAGAGAGAGAGAGAGACTAACATATGGTGCAGTTTTATTTCAATAATTCGCTTGGCCGTTTTGGGTCTTTAGCAATGGGAGGAAACCGGAGGACCCGGAGAAAACCTACGAGGTTTGGCTGGCGGCAATATTCTTCGGCACGTACAACCGGGGAATCGAAACCACGCCAGTTGACTGAATGACAGACCCTTTGATACAACGCGCAGGCGATAACCATTTGGCCATCCAACTCGCCGACTTCACTGACAATTTTGAATTAATTCATACAGAAGAATTAGAAAGTTAGATGTCATGATCTCGCGAGGAATGACATCTCTATTTGTTGACCTATATTCCAGACGGAAGTGACGTGTCCGCATCTGCCTTGTCCATGGCCCGGTACATGTGAGAACCCACGTCAGACATGGTTTGAGTATAAAGGTAAAAAATGTCCCGGATGTACATACTGTGATAAACAGGTAAGAAATAATTCTATAATTACATTTTCAGAAAAGTCAGGAATAAACGTCTGTTTAGGGGACCTCGGTAGTGGGGTTGGCTGCATAAACTTCATGTGACCTTCACAATCCGATATTCTTTTGTTTTGAGGTTGAGTGTGGAGGATTTCCGATCCACTGTGTCCTGCTCTTGAAATTTTTATCTGATTGTACTAACCTTGTTATGTCCCTTGTTTTGTTCTACGATTATCCAGTCCTGTTGAGGTGTATGTGATAGGACCCATTGTAGGCGAGTGGACAGAATGTTCCCCGTTCATTGTCTGTGTGCCCATATATATAGCGAGTCGTTCAGATGGTACGAATAGTGACTGCAATGATTGAAATATTGTAGGAATTCACATTTTCATAACCCTTCAATGCAAATATAATCTTAATTAAAGGATGTGCCTCTAAGAAAATGGAGTCTTATTATTCTGGTGGTATTAATGGGTTCTATTTTAATAATATTGCAGATTGGTCATGACTTGAAACCTAAAGAATATGTCCGACCTGCTGGGTGTCCTTTATTCCATTGCCGCTATCCTGGTTGTTCGAGTGCAAACTATGTATGGCCCACCTTTACCTATGAAGGCACGACTTGTCGCGGTTGTCCAGACTGCAAGCCAATGTAGACTTATAACTTTGATCATTAAAAATACTTTTAACATTAATCTTGTTTGACTTTCTCTTGTAAACACATAAACACGTAATGATCAGTGGGACAACCTCGTGGGTTTTCTCCGGGTCCTTCGGTTTCCTCCCACTGCTAAAGACCTCTACGCGCAAGCGAATTAATGAAATAAAATTGAACTATATGTTAGTCCCGAAATGACCTAATTTGTGTCGAGTGGACGTTAAACCCCATTTCTCTCTCTCCTCGGAACTTCTTGTAGACAGTAAATAAATGTGTTCATATGAAGCATTTATGTCCTTATATGGTAGATCAAGAGCACGTGCAGGGGCAATAAGTGGATTATGACGGGGTTTGTGGCTGGTTTGGGAGTTCAGGGTATCATGATGGAGGGATCCGTAAATACTTACACTACTAGCTTTACCGTATAGTATTAGATAACATTATGATTACAATGGAGAGAGAGAGAGAGAGGGAGATAGGAGAGAGAGAGAGAGAGAGAGAGAGAGAGAAATGGGGTTTAACGTCCACTCGACACAAACCAGGTCATTACCGGACTAACATATGGTTCAATTTTATTTCCATAAATCGTTGCGCGTATAGGGGTCTTTAGCAGTAGGAGGAAACCGGAGGACCCGGAGAAAACCCACGAGGTTGGACAGGCGACCCTACTCCTTGTCACGCACAACAGGGGAATCGAAACCCCACCAGTTGACTCAATGACAGACGTGCTCTCCATTCAGCCATCCAACCCCCCGATCTACAATGGAAGACGTGGTCCATAGTGCGTTTGTGCTGGTTCGTGTTTATTTATTGTTTAGCTAGAACAAAGATTGTCTTCTTCATTTAAATTATTTCAAGATTGTAGAATCATGCTATCATGATTTGTTTTTAAACAAAAAACAAACAAACCCTTAAAATGTAGAATTTTTAAATCTTAATTTATTTTAAACCTTAAACGCAAATGTACACTAAACCGATGAGCGATTAGGGTGAATAGGCCTCTTGTTTGATTTCTTATTCTCGTGTTATCGTGTTATTGATAATTTCTATTTTAATATTATTCCAGGTTGGTCGTGACTTGAAACGTGAAGAATATGTTCGACCTGCTGAATGTCCTTTATTCAAGTGTCGCGATCCTGGTTGTTCGAGTGAAAACTACGTATGGCGCATGATCAACTTTAAAGGTGTGACATGTCGTGGTTGTCCATACTGTAAACCTATGTAGATTTGGACATTTTTAAATGTACACTGATCATTAAAAGATGCTTTTAAGATAATATTGTTTGAGAGAGAGAGAGAGAGAGAGAGAGAGAGAGAGAGAGAGAGAAATGGAGTTTAACGGCTCCTCGACACAAACCAGGTCTTTTCGGGACTAACATATTGTTCAGTTTTATTTCAATAATTGGCTTGCGTGAAGGGGTCTTTATCAGTGGGAGGAAACCGGAGGACCCGGAGAGAATCCACGAGGTTGGATAGGCCACCCTACTCCTTGTCATGTACAACGGGGAATCGACAACACGCCGGTTGATGACAACCCTAATGATACAACGCGCACGCGCTAACCATTCGCCCCCACCCCCGCGCAGTATTGTTTGTCTCTTATAAACACGTAAACAAGTGACGATTAACGGCCGTATCCAAAACATTCCAAAACATTGTAATGGCAAACTGGGGGTAGGGGTGGCGGGATTACCTTAAACGTGTCATACCATTCGAAAAATGGTCCACACCCCACTAAAAACAACAACATTAAGGTTGGCCACGCTATTGTTTGTATATAATTTATTCTGGGCTCTATTCACTGCATTGTCCGACAAGTTGTCATATCTATATTATTGTTACGAGAATTCTGTCAGCTGTTTATCAGACTAATATACGAGTATTCCTGTCCCTATTGACTTCTTCGGGATCACTACACGTGGCTAAGTGGGTAAGACGCTGGCTCGCTAGCCTGGAGGTCTGGTGTTCGATCCCTGCATTGGCCGAGAAAGTTCATCCAGATTTTCCGGCGTGGTTTCCCCTTGTCAGTGATGCAGGACGGAGGGCCTGACAAGGACAGCTGTCTAGTCATTCGGATGAGACGAAAAACCGAGGTCCCGTGTATACATTGGAATGCACTTAAAAGATCCCTTGGCAGTTGGAATTCGATATAAGAGTAGGCGATAGTGCCGCTGCCCGGGCACAATTTTCCTCATAGCACACTGTATGGCGCATGCCCGTCTTCATTAGCCCAGTATAGGAGCAGAACAGTAGGACGTTAAACCCCATTTCATTTCATTTCCTATTGACTTCATGGTTACATTCATGACATTCCTTGGCCTATTGACATTCTATAGAACATTAATCTTCATCACCACACAAAACAAAATCATCTTATACAGACATACATGTGGGTGACATTTTCATGCTAAGTTGGTAGGACGCTCGCTCGCTAGCCTCGACGTGGTTTCCTCTTGTCAGTGGTGCAGGACGGAGTGCCTGGCAAGGACAGCTGTCTAGCCGCCGGGATGGGACAAAAAACCGAGGTTACGTGTACACATTGTCGTTGACGTAAAAAATCACCAGGCAGTTGGAATTCGATATAAGAGTAGGTCATAGTGCCGCTGTCCGCGCACAATTTACCTCATAGCACACAGTATGGCGTATGCCCGCCTTCATTAGCTCAGTCGGGGCAGAACAGTAGGACGTTAAACCCTATTTTATTTTATTTCATTTCATTTCAAAACGCCTGTGACGTAACTTTAGTAGACGGTTTTCCTAAATCATGCGTGTTAAAACTTATCTCGGAGACACGCATAATCACCAAAAGCTGACATTGAATAAAAATGTAAGCGAAAAAACGGAAACAATGACTATAATAACACATCATACACACATGATGAGTCAGATCGTTTTAATCAAACGATGTGTTTCCTGGTATAATTTGATGTTCTATTGTAAAACATGATTTAGATAAAAACCTGACAGATTTCACTATAATAGTTTAAAACTAAATAAATAAAAGAAAGATGAATATATTGAAAATTACTTTATTCCTAGCGAAGTTATGAATTTTGGAAGAGTAGTCTCGATTTCCATTGCCACCATTATTACGATAATAAACGAAATCTCGATTATCTATTTTTAAATTAAAATATCACCACCATCCAATAGCCCGAGGGTTTATTATGGACGTGGCTTGTGCATGAATGTCTAAATAATAGTTTATGTAACATTTGAGGCCTAAAGAAAGACCTGTAATAGTGTGATTTAGCTCTTACATAATGTATGTTTAACAAACAAGTAAAGATATGAAAAGCGGTTTAACGTCTCATCAATTATTTTCAAACTAACATTAACCAAATAATGGTATTTGTTTTATCAATCTGTCTATTTGTGCAATCTATATGTCTATTTGTGCAATACAGAGAGGGGTCCGCTACCCTTTCTTGAATTCTAACAGCTGAGCGATCTTTATTTGTACTTCAATTTATACATGGAATATCGGTTGGTCGTCCCACACTTTCTATGTGACCAGCCCTTACAAATGAAAGCTAGGCTGACCTCCCCTCCCAGTACAATGGAAATGAAATGAAATAAAATGAAGTTTAACGTCCTACTGTTCTGCTCCTAACCTGGGCTAATGAAGACGGGCATACGCCATACAGTGTGCTATGAGGGAAATTTTGCCCGGACAGCGGCACTACGGCCTACTCTTATATCGAATTCCAACTGCCAAGGGATCTTTTACGTGCACGCCAATGTGTACACGGGACCTCGGTTTTCCGTCCCATCCGAACGACTAGACAGCTTTCCTTGTCAGCCCCTCCGTCCTGCATCACTGACAAGGGAGAACCACGCCGGAAAATCTGGACGAACTTTCTCGGCCAATGCAGGGATCGAACACCCGACCTCCAGGCTAGTGAGCTAGCGTCTTACCCACTTAGCCACGTGATTATAACCAAACAGCATGTTGTTTTAAATTGATTTTTAGCTAGATCGGTTTACCGTGGGTTTACCGGTCAATCAAACACGTTCTTAGAATCTAACAAAAGTGTTCCGGACAAGCAAGCCTTTGGAGTCATTAGATGCTATTTTGGTACCTTCTGCCTTTCTATTTTCTGACACCCCTACCCTCTTTACCCCGTTATAAATACGGCCCTGAATCTGAATCGTGACTATCGTCTTCTCACACAAAGAGATAAACTGTATTATAACGGAAGACTGTTTAAGTGGTATCGTGGCGATAAATAACACTTATTTCCGGGTTTACATTGTTTCTACATCAACTAGAGTATACAGTACAATAACTATACATAGTAACTCGGCTGTTTTTAAGAAATGAAATAAAATAAAATGAGGTATAACGTCCTACTGCTCCGACTGGGCTAATGAAGACAGGCATGCGCCATACATTGTGCTATGAGGAAAAGTTTGTCCAAACAGCGGCCCTACGGTCTATTCGAATTCCAACTGCTAGTGGATATTTTATGTGAACGCAATGTGTACACGGGACTTCCGTTTTTCGTTCCATCCAAACGACTATGCCACTAAACAACTGCACCACGTCAGACAATTCCGATGAACTTTCTCGGCCAACACCGGAATCGAACATGGGACCTCCGGGTTAACGAATCAACGTCTTACCCACTGAGTCCCCACGCCTATCCTCCCTTGGCAGTTGGAATTCGATATAAGAGTAGGCCGTAGTGCCGCTGTCCGGGCGCTAGGGTTGGGATTAGCGCTAGCCCTGTTTCTATCTCGTGACCATTAACCAAACTTGATGTTGGCCTTATAAAATAGATCTATCCGTAAAAGTTGTGATCCGGTCTTGACGTTTTTAATATAAGCTCAGGCCCGGCGGAGTGGGGGGGGGGGCTTTAGCCCCTCCAATAATTTTGCCGCAAGTACTCTTTTCTCCAGGTTATTGCGGCCCCTGGACCCACGCCTATAAGGACCTAGGATGGAAGCCCCCCCCCCCCCCAATCAAGAATTGCTTCCGCCGGCCCTGAAGCTTGCCAATAAATCTACACATTCCATGTCAATGTCGACATATTTACCGATATTATAGGGTCTATGCAATATCGTATCCCTCATTACACGGAAAAGGGGGCGGGGTTTATCATTAGCTCTCAGAATGAAAATACTAATTTGGCGGAAATTAAGTAGCATATCACGCCTTTGTCCTAACCCTAACCTGTAATCTGTAATCATGAATATTTAAACTAACTCGGGGTGGAGGGCAAGCTCCTTCCCAGCTATGATTGAAACGATATAACATCGACGACATTAATTTAAGCACATCTAACCATCATTTCCGACTGACTCAATATTTTGATTTAAGACCAGATGAATGGACAAGATCGTCATATTATAGCTTTGGAATGAAATACTTAAACTAATTCGACCTCCCCTTTAATCTTTAAATGACGTCGAATTTGTTGATGCCCGAAGACGGATGAAGTTTAATGTTCCATTTCCCATAAAAATGATATTGTTGACGCCTGTCTGCATCACGTTTCACAGAAGGATCCTGGTGTCGAGTTAGAAGGATGAAAACCGAATGCACTGCACAGTCTTATCAGTTCTGACAGATTTTGTACAATAAGCGGACGATAGTAGAAGTGGTCTATGTATATAAACCATTGATGTCACTTGTTATATTCTCATCAATATGACGTTGATCTTGAATATAGTGCTAATAATACTCTCTGTGTTGATATCGACATCGATCGGACAAACTTGGAGTGGGTAAGTTATATTTATTTATATACTTATGTTAATATAAACTTGCTGCTTCTGTGTTTGTGATTATTCAATTATTGTATATTAAGCCTTTGGCCCTTACTGCATGTAAACATTGACTTCCTTGGTTCTGTAACCTAGTGGATTACTTCCATAAAACGGGAACAACGGTATAATCTGGATGTGAATTTATTCAAGCAGTAACAACATTAAAATCGACTAACAACTAAAAAGGAAAGAACAATATGGTGTGCATTCTTTGATAATTACAATATATATTTCTACAATGAACCTGAGTGAAATTTATATGACTTTGTTTTAAGTTCTATAACTTAATATGACTAAGTTTTAAGTTCAATTTGTTGTACAATAAACAATTATAAAATGTTGCTACTAGTGACGTAAATTAAATAGTTAATTAAATGCTATTCAACAACTATACAATAATACTTATGTTGATAAAAGATCAAGATTATAACAATGAATACATTTAATTATATTGTAGGAGATTAGTGCCCCAGTCTGACTATAGCTGTTAAAAACTATAATATTGGGTTCTTAGAATTATTTCTGAATAAACAATATAATAAAAATATGTCTGCCAAGCATCATATTGAAATGCTTGGTTATATTTCCACGCTGATCGCCAGCGAATACTCGCTCCGCCGCTATAATCACAGAGTGAGAGAGAGAGAGAGAGAGAGAGAGAGAGATATTTTGACATAGTTAAATCATCAGCTGTCATGAAATGAAACGTCCTACTGTTTTGCTCCTAAACTGGGCTAATGAAGGCTAATAAAGACGGGCATACGCCATACAGTTTGCTATGAGGGAAATTTTGCCCGGGCAGCGGCACTACGGCCTACTTTTATATCGAATTCCAACTGCCAAGGGATCTTTTACGTGCACGCCAATGTGTACATGAGACCTCGGTTTTTCGTCCGATCCGAACGACTAGACAGCTGTCCTTGTTAGGCCCTCCGTCCTGCATCACTGACAAGCGGAAACCACCACGCTGGAAAATCTGGATGAACTTTCTCGGCCAATGCAGGGATCGAACACCCGACCTCCAGGCTAGCGAGCGAGCGTCTTACCCACTTAGCCACGTGATCTCTCTCAAGTGTCATAGTCCATTAATACTTACAGGCATGGTATTCGATATATTTGATGAAATTAAACATATTAAAACGTAGTAATGAGAAAAAGAGAGACAAATGGGGTTTAACGCCCACTCGACACAAACTAGGTCATTTCGGGACTAAAATATACGGTGTAGTTCAATTTTATTTCAATAATTTGCTTGCACGTAGGGGTCTTTAGCAGTGGGAGGAAACCAGAGGACCCAGAGAAAACCCACGAGGTTGGACAGGCGACCCTACTCCTTGTCACGTACAACCGGGAAATCGAAACTAGACCGTATGATACAGCCAGCACGTGCTAACCATTCTTTGTTGCATATTCTGTATATATTTGCCTACTATTCACATACCTATACCATTTGTTTGATAAAGACGAGAGTCGCTTAGTATTAAACTCAGTAATTGAGTATCCAGAAACATGTACATTGTGTTCTTGTGAAATAAATGTGTTTATCTCAGAAGTTTTGTTTAGCCATACAAAAGACAACTAATCGTTTTTTCCTGCATCTAAATGTAAGGGGCATACGAGTAAGTTGTGACCACTAAGGCAAGCAGGGCTCTCATCCACGTGTCTGAGAAATTTATGGCCTTGTAGATTTGAGCAGTATAATCTTGACTTACAGTGGATTATTTGTAATTTTCTTTTCCCAAGATAGTAATATAGTGGCACGATGGTATCTTAATTGTAGGGATTCTAGATTGAATCGCTGCGCCCAACCTAGATAATATCTCGGCCTAATCGACACTGAAACCAAAAGAAAAACCTGTAATAGTCAGATTTGCATAATACATCTTTTTAATTGTAAAGTAATTATTTTGAGTAAATTGTAGTGTTGATTCAATCGCGCTGAATTAGATATCGTCCGGATCGGTGGCTTCAACTATGATAAAGTATTAAAGTGGGGAATGAAATATTTTAAATATAACGAAATTAGAATTAGACACTGCTGTACTGATAAACGTCAGTGGCGTGCTCGGTCTTGGTTTAGAGAGAGAGAGAGAGAGATAGAGAGAGAGGGGGGGGGCGCAGAGAACGGGGCGCCGGAACCAGGGTACCAGGGTATACAAATGGTACCCTGCCCTTTTCTGGGGTATACATGTATATCCATGCCCCAATGATGAAAGTTTTCAACCTTTTTACTAGTCTATTCATTATTAAATGATAGATATGTAATTGCTGTCTGGTCGGTCGCGAACCGGATCTCGCACTCTCATCATGTCTATAAGTGGTTAATCGAGTTCATGATAGTAGATTCTGTTTATAGTTATTAGACTTTTCAATTACACAATTTTTTATGAGATGAATTGCTCATGATAAGAAAACTGTGAATAATCAGACTTTTGTCTTTTTCATTATCATGTATTTTAAAGGGTTTTATGTTGGAATTTGGAATGCTAGAGGCGCTCTAAACAGCGTTCTCGGAATTGACAAATTTCAAAATTTGGGGGAGAGAACCCCCACCACCGGAGCCCCACCCTATCTTTTGGTACCCTGGCCATCGCGCCGTTCCGGCGCCCCTGCGCAGAGAAAACCCACGAGGCTTGACAAGCGACCCAATTCCTTGACACGTACAAGCGTGGAATCGAAACAAGACGTAATTACAGACCCGTGTCATCTAACGCACACGCGTTATATAACTCTCCCCGCCCCCTCACTCCCGCCCCGATTTAAATAAATGAAATGAAATATGGTTTAACGTTCTACTGTTCTGCTCCGTCTGGGCTAATGAAGACAGCCACCCCAATTTAAGCTAAACTTTCGAAAGATAGAATATATGTTAGGGTTTAGTATGTTTTTTTTTGTTTTGAAATTACACATAATTAAAACAATACTCTGCAGATCTTAATCTTGCAAAGTTTACCGAAGAGAAAACACCTGTTCCTTTACGTAATAAAAGATTTTAAATTAGAATATTAACTAACACAGTGGCATTTTAAATGACACAAAGTGACTGGTAGCTTGTTTTGGTACAGCAGTATTTTAATTGAAGCAGTTATTTATTGGGCGTGTCTGGTAAAACTAACTTAGTTAATTTTAGTGTACAAAGTATGAATACGCCAACAAATGAAGAAATAAGAATTAAAGACTTAAGAACACTGAATTAAGAGCTGTTTGGTCACCCATAGACTGGACCAGGCCACCCACTTACCAACAAGCCCCAAGGAAGAGTTGCACCGCTCTGCCATTCAACCGGACAAACAGACCCGGCCCTCCCATATGATATGTATATATATGTAATATTTGCATTCTATGTTTATTTCTTTCATGTCGGAGCAGAACAATTAAACAAAGAAACAATAGTTTGAAAATTCGCTACAGATTAGACATGCGCCGCCATTAATCTTCGCTAAAATCTGTGTATGCTCACCTTTTTAATCCGATTCAGTCCAATCCGGTTAATATGATGATGTACCGTTCATATATGAATTTTATTTTCTCAAATATTATGTAAGATTTAGATAAAGAGGCTGGTCGTTCTTGCTATGATGGTGCAAAATAGATAATTAAAAATGAATATATTGAAAATTTCGTTTAAATTACTTTATTCTGAGCGAAGTTATGGGTGTGATTTATTATCGTAGTAACGTTACTTGTTAATCGAGACTCGGTGGCCCTCTTCTCCATTTTTAAATTAAATCATTAAAGGGCGATCGTATTTCAATACGTTTAATTCTCCACCATCTTATGAGTTGATTATAGCCTCAAAATAAAAACCTGCAATAGGCAGATTTAGCTCTTACATAATGCAGCTTTAAGTAATCGGGGGGATCACGTGGCTAAGTGGGTAAGACGCTGGCTCGCTAGCCTGGAGGTCGGGTGTTCGATCCCTGCATTGGCCGAGAAAGTTCATCCAGATTTTTCGGCGTGGTTTCCCCTTGTCAGTGATGCAGGACGGAGGGCCTGACAAGGACAGCTGTCTAGTCTTTCGGATAAAACGAAAAACCGAGGTCCCGTGTATACATTGGAATGCACGTAAAAGATCCCTTGGCAGTTGGAATTCGATATAAGAGTAGGCGTTAGTGCCGCTGCCTGGGCAAAATTTCCCTCATAGCACACTGTATGGCGTATGCCCGTCTTCATTAGCCCAGTTTAGGAGCAGAACAGTAGGACGTTAAACCCTATTTCATTTCATTTCATTTAAGTAATCGTTAAACAATCAACTTGAGTATATTTGTCAAAAAATTCTAATTTCTGTTACACACAGTCTCAGCTCTGTGTAATTTGTTTAGGATTACATGTTCAACTTTCATCGCTAAAAACGAGACGAACCATTAAACAACTGATTCGTTCCTTCAATTTTAGGAAAAAAAAAATGAACAAAATCATGTTCTTATGGCGCTGGCCCTCTCCTTGGGGCCTGTCATTAATTATGGCCATCACATTGGACAGGGAAAGAGGTATACTTTTTGAACTAGGGTTGATTATTATTAATATTAATATTTCGTTTCATTTTATTTTCCGTCCTGTTTTAGACGCCCACAAAGTGGATGTGTAATGGCGTCACCGTTATCTCATCCAACTTGTTTCAATTGATTTTTAAATACAAATTGCAAGGGTTATTTATTTGTTCATAGAGAAGACCTTAATCGAAATTCCGTTAGTGATTTTGTCCATTTGGATATTTGGAATTTTTCGATCGCAAATTGCAGAATATTCCACATTTACGTTCAAATTTATGAAATCTTTCAACAGCGAAAGAAGGTTTTAATACTAAGTTTCTCTTTCCAGAAACGTCTGTTCCAGACTGATATGTACATCGGAAAGGGTTCGTGTCTGCAGTTATCGTACATGGAGAGCGTAAGTTTTAAATTTGATATCGTAAATAATCCAGTGCTCTTATCGTTTTTTTCTTAATGTATTGAAGAATACATGTCTACACGATACTTGACAATGGAGAGACTGCGCTGGAAATCCCGGGGAACTATCTCGACCAACTCCTTAAGCATGTATCAGAGACGTCATGGTTCATGATCAAATAATATAAACCGAACCACCGTGACTCATATATATATATGGCTTCTAATATATGTAATTGAAACAATACTATTATCCGTTCTTCACATATCATTGTTCTGTTTTGCTCGCTAGATGCTGTGCCTATAAATGGGTTTCAAAAACTAAATACCGGACGGAGCAATTCTGCTGTAGTGGATGGCGGGATACAAATGGCAACCGCGTCTGTAACCAAGGTAACAAAGACATATTAATTACTGTTCTGCTTTGTGCCTTCTGTATTACAATATCAATAATTATATCATGGCGTGACCAATTATCAAATTGATATCAACGGTGAAAGAAATGGCGAAGATATCGAAAGAATACAATGTATCGAATCACTACAGAGGATGAAAATGAATTTTGGTCTGCATATCTTTCTAAAATTTTAATTATCTCCCTTGATTTTGTCAAACGGAGGTACCCTTGGAAAATGCATATCGCACCAGTATTTGGCAGGATGACTGCCTCTACCACCCAAACTCTTCAAATGCCTTAAACCGAGATTTCTTAAATAAACGTGTTTTTGTTATTTCAGATTTCATCTTTTAAAACGTACTACATTCTTGTTTCCTTCACACCATGTTTAATTCAGTTATCTAGGACCCATCTTGGTTTTATTTAAATAGATATTTATTGCTTGTTTGTTATTTTAGCTATCTGTTATCCACCCTGTGAAAATGGAGGAACGTGCTCAAGACCCAATAAATGTGACTGTCTGAGGGGTAACGATGGACCCACTTGTGCTGGAGGTTTGTCATATTTTTGAAGATTTCTATGCTGCCATGACTGTACGTTTTAATGCAATAAATCTTATTTCTCACCATTTTCAAAACTTAATAAAATTTACAGAATTATGAACAACTTTTCTGTGGGAGCATAATTAAAGGATAGACCATGTTTCTGTAGCTGGTTCTCCTAAATCCTGTTTATATTTTAGTGACGTTTTCCCAGCTAAATCCATTTTAGTAACGTGTTCTTATCAAAATCCATGTTTATATTTTAGTAACGTGTTCTCACCAAAATCCATGATTATATTTTAGTAACGTGGTCTCACCAAAATCCATGTTTATAGTAACGTGTTCTCATCTAAAGCCATGTTTATAGTAACGTGTTCTCATCTAAAGCCATGTTTATATTTTAGTAACGTGTTCTCATATAAAGCCGTGTTATCCGGGTGTGTGCAGCAACCAAAAGACATGTCAATGCCAGGAAGGGTTTACCGGAAACACTTGCCAAATCAGACAAAGTAAGAAATCTTTTATTACATCAGTTCCTCACATTGCTGATTTTGTTTAGAATTTTATCCATATTTAATTTGTTATTGCTGATTATTATAATGTTGTCCATGTTTAATTTGTTATTGCTGATTATTATAATGTTGTCCATGTTTAATTTGTTATTGCTGATTATTTAAAGATTCGAACTTTCAAGAAATCTTAAAAAGCGGACAACTCAATGCAAACATTGATCATTTAAATGAAATGAGATATTCGAATATAGCATTCGTAGATTTCGAACCCTCAACGGCTCCAGTTGACTATTTACGTGATATGGGGTGTAATGCTATGTAACGTATAAATTTAGGATATTAATGAATTTAATTGAAATCTCCATCGAACAGGTAAAGCCAGTCAACTATCTAATATTTGGTTGTGTAGAGCTACCTTGTCAAACGTAGAGCGAGTCAGTAACATGGAGAAATATAATTTTGTGACGGATGCGTCAGACCCATCTGACCCTAGCCCAGATGAGATCTGGTCCAACCAGCTGACATACAATTATCTAATGGTCCAGGCGTCTGCGCAGTTTAATCCCGACGTACCTGCGCCTCCGGAGTATATCAAAGGAGCAGAATTTGGAGTTGTTCGTTCTTCTATCACCGTGACACTAACGAAGATACCACGCCCAGGTAAATGTTCCTTTATTCTAATCAAGTGGGGCGTATAATCAGTTACCTTCTGCACGTGACTGTCTCTTTATTCTAATCAGGGGTTAACTAACATTTACACAACGTCACCGACATTCTGTACACAGCGAACAATCTATCTACATTAAGAATGGCCGCCATGTTAAAAAGCCAGTGTATTAATGTATTATTTTTGTTATGCGGTTGTAATCCGTTGTAGAGATTTTACACATACGAAGAATAAATAAACGTTTTCCAGTCTCAAATGTATCGATGTGTTATTAGGGTTGCGGTCTCCTACCAAAGTTAACCGAATGCAACCGTAAAATATTCCTGTAGTATGGCCACTATAATTGTCAACATATGTACCATTCATAAACTAACTGTGGTAAAGTAAGACTGTAGACGAACAGCGTTAGGCGTTAGTTACGTATGTGTCGATGGGTTACGACATACCCGGATGGCGTTCTCACACTAAAGTGAGGCTTAAAATCAGGTAACTTCCCCCGGTGTGATAGTTTGAGTTGACTCCTGGTGTGTGTTTTCTCCTGGGCACTTGCGCATGTCCGAAACTGATGTTTGCCTTAACAACGAAACTATATCTACTTCCTGCGGTGTGAGTTGGTTCCTGATCACTGGTCAGTACAGGAAAAAGTATATCATGTACTTGATTAAAGTTTTGTCATTAATAAACATACTTGTTATCGGGGTTAGCTGTTGTTTTAGTGATCAGTAGTTACACACCGAACACAAATTGGCAACCTATTCGGCTAGCGAGCTATTCGACCGATCCAGCTGGCAACCTGTTCGTTGGCAACCTATTCAGAATTAAGACAACAGTCGCCCAAAATCATCTATTTTTACCAACCAATAAATCCAACGTTACGTCTATCAAATGAAAGTAGAATAATATATTATTTTTTATCCATTCCTTTAGCTCAGAATAGAGGTGTAATTTCGCATTATCGTACAAAATTCTAGACATCCAACCAAATATATTCCGAAAGGTTATTAAATAGGCTTTCCAAATATTATCAGTAAAAGTTGGCACAGTCATATTAAAGGGGTGCACTCTCTTCCTGAACATGACTAATTTTTTTAAAAATTTTAAAGGGAAAAACTGTTAATAACCCGTGTCAAAATTCGGACCATCGTACAAAATTCTGATGATCCAACTAAATATATTCTAAAAGGTAATTGAAAAAGCTTTCTAAATGTCATTAGTAAAAGTTGGCACAATCATATTAAAGGGGTGCGCTCTCATCCTAAACGTCGCCAATTTTCTATATGTAAAAATAGACCGGTATTTTTTTCGAAGTCCAAATTCGGACCATCGTACAAAATTCCGAGCAACCGGCTATATATATTCTGAAAGGTAAGTGAATAAGCTTTCTAAATGTTATTAGTAAAAGTTGGCACAATCATCTTAAAGGGGTGCGCTCTCATCCTAAACGTCACCAATTTTTTAATATTTTAAAGTGAAAGAACGGTAATATTCCGAGTCAAAATTCGGACCATCGTACAAAATTCTGAGCATCCAGCTATATAAATTTGGAAAGGTAATTGAATCAGCTTTCCAAATATTATTAGTAAAAGTTGGCACAATCATATTAAAGGGGCGCGCTCTCAACCTGAACATAGCGAATTTTTCAATATTTTAAAGTGAAAGAACGGTAATATTCCGAGTCAAAATTCGGACCATCGTACAAAATTGAATAAGCTTTCCAAATATTATTAGTAAAAGTTGGCACAATCATATTAAAGGGGCGCGCTCTCAACCTGAACATAGCCAATTTTTCAATATTTTAAAGTGAAAGAAAGGTAATACAACATTCTGAGCAACCAGCTTATCCAATTACCTTTCAGAATATATATAGCTCGATGCTTAGAATTTTGTACGATGGTCCGAATTTGGACTTCGAAAAAAATACTGGACTATCTTTACATATAGAATATTGAAAAATTGGCTATGTTCAGGTTGAGAGCGCGCCCCTTTAATATGATGGTGCCAACTTTTACTAATAATATTTGGAAAGCTTATCCAATTACCTTTCAGAATATATATAGCTGGATGCTTAGAATGTTGTACGATGGTTCGAATTTGGACTTCGAAAAAAATACCGGTCTATCTTTACATATAGAATATTGAAAAATTGGCTATGTTCAGGTTGAGAGCGCGCCCCTTTAATATGATTGTGCCAACTTTTACTAATAATATTTGGAAAGCTTATCCAATTACCTTTCAGAATATATATAGCTGGATGCTTAGAATTTTGTACGATGGTCCGAATTTGGACTTCGAAAAAAATACCGGACTATCTTTACATATAGAATATTGAAAAATTGGCTATGTTCAGGTTGAGAGCGCGCCCCTTTAATATGATTGTGCCAACTTTTACTAATAATATTTGGAAAGCTTATCCAATTACCTTTCAGAATATATATAGCTGGATGCTCAGAACTTTGTACGATGGTCCGAATTTGGACTCGGAAAGCTTTTTCAATTACCTTTCAGAATATATATAGCTGGTTGCTCAGAATTTTGTACGATGGTCCGAATTTTGACTCGGAATATTATCTTTCATTCACTTTAAAATATTGAAAAATTGGCTATGTTCAGGTTGAGAGCGCGCCCCTTAAGTATTATTGTGTCAACTTTTACTAATAATATTTGGAAAGCTTATTCAATTACCTTTCAGAATATATATAGCTGGTTGCTCAGAATTTTGTACGATGGTCCGAATTTTGACTCGGAATATTACCGTTCTTTCAATTTAAAATATTGAAAAATTGGCTATGTTCAGGTTGAGAGCGCGCCCCTTTAATATGATTGTGCCAACTTTTACTAATAATATTTGGAAAGCTTATCCAATTACCTTTCAGAATATATATAGCTGGATGCTTAGAATTTTGTACGATGGTCCGAATTTGGACTTCGAAAAAAATACCGGACTATCTTTACATATAGAATTACCTTTCAGAATATATATAGCTGGATGCTCAGAATTTTGTACGATGGTCCGAATTTCGACTCGGAATATTACCGTTCTTTCACATTAAAATATTGAAAAATTGACTATGTTCAGGTTGAGAGCGCGTCCCTTTAATATGATTGTGCCAAGTTTTACTAATAATATTTGGAAAGCTTATCCAATTACCTTTCAGAATATATATAGCTGGATGCTCAGAATTTTGTACGATGGTTTGAATTTGGACTTCGAAAAAAATACCGGTCTATCTTTACATATAGAATATTGAAAAATTGGCTATGTTCAGGTTGAGAGCGCGCCCCTTTAATATGATTATGCCAACTTTTACTTTAATATGATTGTGCCAACTTTTACTAATAATGTTTGGAAAGCTTATCCAATTTTATTTCAGAATATATATAGCTGGATGCTCAGAATGTTGTACGATGGTCCGAATTTTGACACGGGTTATTAACAGTTTTTCCCTTTAAAATTTTAAAAAAAATTGGTCATGTTTAGGAAGAGAGTGCACCCCTTTAATATGACTGTGCCAACGTTTACTGATAATATTTGGAAAGCCTATTTAATTACCTTTCGGAATATATTTAGTTGGATGTCTAGAATTTTGTACGATAAAGCGAAATTACACCTCTATTCAATCTGAGCTAAAGGAATGGATAAAAAATAATATATTATTCTACTTTCATTTGATAGACGTAACGTTGGATTTTATTGGTTGGTAAAAATAGATGAGTTTGGGCGACTGTTGTCTTAATTCTGAATAGGTTGCCAACGAACAGGTTGCCAGCTGGATCGGTCGAATAGCTCGCTAGCCGAATAGGTTGCCAATTTGTGTTCGGTTAGTTACACGATCAACGGATCTAAGTTGATTGGCTTCAAATTGATACTTCTATCGTTCGTGATTTGTTGCCGTTGTTTTTTTTAGTGATTAGTCGTTCGACACACGTACGTACGATCAGTGGAAACCATACAAATTGATGATTTGCTTGAAATTATCAATTAATTCACCTCCAAAGCAAGATTTAAGGCCTATGATATTTATCACAAATATAAAAGTATGGAATTTCTTATTCCGATTTCTTTAACATAGATTTATTATTATACCAACCCCTTTTTTCAAACCTGCATGTAGACAGCCCAAATACAAGAGAGAATGTTCGCATTGTGAACGGGTATATATACTAAATAATAATAATAAAGATCGTCAATTTACATCCTCTCGTGGTGGTAATACTGTAAATATCGGTAGATAATAGTCTATGATTTGACCGTAAGAAAATCTTAGGGGAAGTCCTATCACGAGGAGTCAATGCACACCGCGACTGTAACGGTGTGAGTTGACTCCTACAACTGCGCATGCGCCAAACGGTAATCACACACCAGGAACCATCTGAAACTGCCACACCGGGACTGTCTCCTTATTCCAGTCAGAGACAGACGTTCCAATGGCAACCAATGTAAACAAATTTAACTGAAATCAGATGATGCATAACCATAAATTCCGGATGTACGAACGGACAGACGGGAGGAAGTAAAAGGGGTAGAACTGAATGTCGCTGGGCATCATACTGATCAGCAGTGAATATTTGCTAGGCCGCGACAATCACTGATAAGGATGACATCGATGTGACTTAATGAGCCACAAATATTAACATTTTTCCTCCGACAAATTAAATTCTATAACATTTTTTTATGTATTAGAAAAATAAATAAAAACGTTTGACGTATTTGTAGGTAAAAATTATTTCCTATTTAGTGTAAATGGGTATTAAAATGAGTAAAAGGCTCCATTCCGCCCGAACCAGTAAGGTCTTATGTAAACAATGCACGCGCCATTGAGCCAATGATTGGCACCGCGTGATGAGACGTCACGTGTTGAATGTAGTCATCTTTTACAGAGATATTAAAAGACTTTCGTAATCCTCTGTGAACCAGATTGGCTGGGCATATGTAGGCACAACAACGGATTACATCCAGCTGAAACCTACACACTGACTTAATTGTATGTTAAATTTACACATTAGAATTACAGTAAAATATACCGGGACAATGATACAAGAATTTTATGTTTTTAGGAGAGCCTGTGGAGCCTATAACTCAGGTATACCCCTGTCCAGAAATTTCTGCAACCAGTAGGAGTTATAGTTTCTGGAATTGTACTGTAGTAGAAGAAGATTTTGTTTACCAAATGGAATCCGGTGACAAGTAAGTTTAAAAATGATCAAACTGAAATATTTTGAATATTTTGAATTTTTTTTTAATAATTTATGAAGTTAAGCACCATATATGTTTAAATGTTTCCTAGAGGCTCAGGGTTTCATATAATGTTTAAATGATTGAGTGCTCTTAGAGGCTCACGGTTTCAGATAGATGGCAATCTGTGCTCGGCTTGAAAATGTCTTGTAAGCAGTAGAGATGTGCAATAGAGGAATCGAAGGGACATGAATTGAAAGAACCCACGAGGTTAGGCATGCGACTCTACTCCCACTCCGTGTCACAAACACTGTCGAATAGACTGGTTTCTTTCGGCCACGGAACACATTTCCCCGCCAATTTGTCAACAATATTAGTACTAAATGTTTCTGAGAAATAATTGCATTGGCAACAAGTATCAAGGTTTGAATTTAGAAACGAAATTGGGATTAAATTCGTAATTACTATTTATAACTTATTCATAATGGATGTGTTATGGTGGAGGGGGTTTACACAGGCTAAGTCTATTCATCAATCCCATTCACATATTCTGAATAAAGATATTGTTTAACAATATGTATTTCAGTTTAACTGTGACGTCAAACTTCTTCAGTGGTGGCTATCGGGATCTGGTAGACCTCAACAGCGGGCGCTTATATAAGACAGAGAACTATACTACCTTATCTTCCAGTAAAAGGCTTTTATTCAAATTTGATAAAATTAAACCTACGCACTGTAACAAGAATTGCCGTAATGGCGAAACTCCTTTAAACGTTGGTAGGGACGTTACACAGGTAAGTGGCCGAATGTTTAGCACGCGCGCGCAGTATCATAAGTTCTGTCATTGAGTCAACTGGCGTGGATTCGATTCAGCGGGTGTACGTTACAAGGAGTAGGGTCGCCTGGACAACCTCGTGGATTTTCTCCGGGTCCTCCGGTCCCCCCACCCCACTGCTAAAGACCCCTACTCGCAGGCGAATATTGGAATAAAATTAAACCATATATTAGTCTCGAAATGACCTAGTTTGTGACGAGTGGACGTTAAACCCCATTTCTTTCTCTCCCTTCATATAGAAGATATTGAGATCAGATAGTTATATACGTTCACTCTGTTTATCACTGATTACCATATAGGAGATATTGAGATCAGATAATTATATATGTTCACTCTGTTTACCAGACATATTGAGATCAGATGGTTAACTTTACTGTAAAACACACCCACACCCATGTAAATATTAAAGTAACTAAATAATAAACTAGTCTCTATCCACCAATTAATAGAACAAAGGGTCCTTGTCTCGTGTTTTGGTGATCTAATGCGAGAAATTACAAACATATCTTCTTGCTCCGCTCGAGGTACTGGCACCGTTTTATTTAGCGTTCCAACCCTTGTACATTGACTTTCTTTAATATTTGTTGTGTATTGCTGGTAGGGTATGTGTCGTTTTTGTGACTTGTCCGCGGGTTTGTCTTACAGGTTTCTTTGTTGTGTAGCGTTATTGTCCTTTGTATAAAAACACGAAACTGTTTTTATTTCATTGTTGATTTCTAAATCTTTTTTTTCAGAATGCTATAAGTTTAACTTGGAGTGGGTACGAGGACTCGTTATCAGGCATGTATCGCTATGCCTGGGAAATCTTTAAGTTAGATATAGTCGATACAAGTCACCGCCTACGTGAAAAAGAACCCTTGAATCCGATGAAAATTGAAGAAGTTTTTCATAATAATCTAACTTTTCCCATAATTTACAAACCGCCAGTTCCGGGCATGTACTCGGTTATATTAGAAGCATCCGACAGAGCCAATAATTCAATCTACGTCAGACAGTTGGTCCTTTACGACAACCAATCAAGTATTGAACAAAAAACCGCCATATCATTTCCGACGAAAACAAGTCCTCCTAAAACCCTCGACGTATGGCAGAGTAACCTAGATGCTGACATTACGATTGATTGGTCAGGCCATTTTGTCAATGCATTACACTATGACAACGGCTATCTGAATGAAGTGCTAAAATACCCGGTTCAGTTTGCAGGAGAAGACCCCGTAGTTGGAAGTATTGATAATTTTAAGCAAAAATTTATCAGGTTTGATGACGAAACTGGTCAAAGGTCAACGAAGAGTGTCCCAAATATCCGCGGTATAATCGACTTTACCATACAATGGAAACTTAACGGAAAACGTTTGAAGGAAGAAAGAAAATTACAGGTAAAAATTCTGATCTAATTTATATCGAAAGGCCGTTCTACAGATCAAATTAATTTTGTCTAGTAATGCTCACCGTACAGGAAATTTGTCTTCGACGTTAGCTCTCTGGGTCGTTGTCTGCCTAATCGCCCTGATGCAACACTGTGATAACATTTACAAACCTAAACCACGAACGAAGCATTCGGATGCGTTTTCCGAATTCTTTCTAGCAGGGATTGACACCAATATTTGATAGCAATCCGCCGCCATTTTTTTACTGTAATGTCGACTCCCAGATTATTTAAATGCTGTCCATCTGTAGCTATATTTTAGTGTGCCCCCCCACACCCCCACACCCCCACACCCAACCCCCACACTCTCCACATCTGTTTACCTGTTTGAGCCCAAAAGCCTATCAAAGTTTACTCGCTCTTGGTCAGTTTTTAGTTTTTTGTCAATACTACAATTAACTACAAAAGAATAGAGATGCGACATATATGTATTTATGTATTATGTGTTTCGTAGCCTAGCAACCTATGCACTTGTTTTATAGGATAACAAGACAATGAAAGGGGTGCTACGCAAAGATGGCGACACGTTAGAAGTTAGTATTATAGCTAGCGATATAATGGGGCATAAAAGCACGGACACGGCAAAACTTCATTTTGATTCTACTGATCCAAATTTAGATGACATTACTAAAAACAGTGGTACTGTGACAGATATGTCGTATACGTATGGAACAAGGTAAGTGAATAAAAAACCGGATATCATGCATAGGCCTATATTCGCCATACAGTATGTTATGAGGGCAATTCCAATTGTCACGTGCACGCCAATGCTTTTCTTACCTTCCGAACGACTATACGACAAATAGAAAGAGAAACAAATTTAGTTATTGTAGGCCTAACGCGGTGTATACTTATTTTAATAATAAACTTACGTGTGGGGGTCCATAAAAGTAAGGAGAGGGGGGCGGAGGTACAAGACGACCCGAATAATATCCACAAGGGTAGGGAAGCGACATTCCTAGTTGTCACGAACAAGCCTCGCTACCTGACTCGGCGAATGTCGGAATGTCAAAAATATGTAGGTCACCATTTTGATGTACAGCTTGCCGTTATTGTATTTAAAATCACATTCGAGTAGGAATAAAACTCCATGGCGTAAAATTTAAATTTTCATAACTGAAGTCTGCATTGATTTATTTGACTAATATTTTGACCAATTGTTTTTAAAAAGGTATTTGTGGACGAGTATGTTTTTTAAAAAAGGTATTTGTGAACGAGTATGTTCTTAATAAGGGTATTTTTGAACGAGTATGCTTTTAATAAAGCTGCAGTTTTTTGACCAGTATGTTTTTAAATTTAGGTATTTTATGGCGAATATGTTTTCAATAAAGGTATTTGTGAACCAGTAGGTATTTAATAAAGGTATAGTTCGGACTCGTAAGTTTTTGATAAAGGTTTTTTTGTGGGGAATATGTTTTCAATAAAGTTGCTTTTAGGCGAGTTTGTTTTGATAAAGTCATTTTGGACCCATACGGTTTTGATAAAGGTATTTCGGACCCGTATGTTCTCAATAAAGGTATTTTGGACTGTGTATTTTACAGTTGTTCTGGCATGTTCGTTTCTTTTAAAATCGCTTTAAATATTAGAATGTATTTCTAATTACAGAATGACGTTTAAGGCGACAGATGAGGACAGCGGAATTCATGAGATAAGATATCGTCTAGAAAGAAGAAACACTGTTGATGAACCACTTGAGGTTGTAGAATCCGGAGAGGTACAAGGTCAACTCGTACAGGTAACCTCTTTAAAAAACTATATTGCCTAGCTCCCCACTCTTATGTTTAATGGGTGGTTGGATGGCCGAATGGTTAGTGCGGGCGCGCTGTATCATTAGGTCTCTCATTGAGTCAACTGGCGTGGTTTCGAGTTCCCGGTTGTACGTGACAAGGAGTAGGGTCGCCTGTCCAACCTCGTGGGTTTTCTCCCGGTCCTTCGGTTTCCTCCCACTGCCAAAGACCCTTACGCGCAAGTTAATTATTGAAAAAAATTGAACCATATGTTAGTCCCGAAGTGAAGTAGTTTGTGTCGAGTGGACGTTAAACCCAATTTTTCTCTCACTCCCTATGTCCAGCAAGACGCCACTGTTCGTTGACTGTCGAAACCCTTTAACTGCACACGGTGTTCAATGATAAAGGTGCGGTCTCATTAACCAGAAGGCCCGGGGTTCGCTCCAGGCAACATTTCCATCGTAGCACACTATATTGGCGTATGTCCTTCTTCACTAGCCCTCCTATGCAGCACAGTAGGATGGTAACCCCGACTTGGGGGTCATTCTGAGACTAATGATGATCCTGTCATGCGCAGTATGGAGGATAAATTAAATCATCCAACGACCACCAATTCCAACTATCAATCAATAAAAATAAAGAACCCACAACACAATCAATGGTTTAATCATGCCGCCTAGGTCGTATTTGCGCTGGGTAAGGCGCTGGCTCGCAAATCTGGAGGTCAGGTGTTCGATCCCTGCATTGGCCGAGAAAGTTCATCCAGATTTTCCGGCGTGGCCCCCCCTTGTCAGTGATGCAGGACAGAAGGCCTGACAAGGACAGCTGTCTAGTCGTTCGGATGGGACGAATTGGCGCTCATTCTAACTAATCCCCTGACATTCAAGATCCAAATTTCTATAACTATGGGGAACATCGATATGGGCAGTCTGCTTCAGAAGTCCCGTGGAGAATAAGCATTGGAATAAACCACCTTCGAGTGGGAAATGAAATCAGGATTAACGTCCTACTGTTCTGCTCCTAACTGGCCTAATGAAGACGGGAATACGCCATACAGTGTGTTATGAGGGGAAATTTTGTCCGGGCAGCGGCACTACGATCTATTCTTGTATCGATTTCCAACTGTCAAGGGATCTTTTACGTGCAAGCCAATGTGTACACGGGACCTCGGTATTTTGTTTCAACTCTGCCAAGCGTTTACGCACCTCCCAGTCCCTGCCTACCCTCGGTAATGTTATAGAATTTTAGGTAGTAATATTTTGATATTTGTAGAGATGTGAAGCTGGTGATGATACATGTTATTGCGTTAAAATGGGGAAGTGTTATAAAGTGGAGTACACATTAGATGTTGATCACTGTTGGTTTAACGTCTCGAAGAATTACCTCGACACCGCCATCATAGATCTTAAAATGGATGCTGTAAATTCTGCTGGTCTAATAACAGCCAAGTCAACACAGGTATTTACTTAGTCAAATAGTTATTTGTTTTTACAGTGTGCTGTAAGGACAATTTTGCTCGGTCAGCATTTGAATTTCAGCAACCAAGTGTTCTTTTACGTGCACGCCAACGTATACAATGGACCTCGGTTTTTCGTCCCATCCAAACGACCTTACATTGTTCCTTATCAGAGTGACTTGGTGTTTTTAATATTGATTCCCGAATTTTATTATTCAGTTATCAGCTTGCATCCCGGTTGTCAGCTTGTATTACAGTTGTCAGTTTGTATCCCAGTTGTAAGCTTGTATCCCAGTTGTCAGCTTGTATCCCAGTCGTTAGCTTGTATCGCAGTTGCCAGCTTGTATCGCAGTTGCTTTGTTTAGTTTTCATATATTTGTGTTTGTTTTAAAACCAGTATAATCTTGTTTTCGTTTTAGTTCTCAAATATTAGAAGTCTAAGTGGTATTGGATACTCTAAGTATTTTAATGGTCCAACTAAATCAATTTAAAACAGCTAATATGTACTGTTCCAATCTAATCACGTTGTGTCTAATACTTAATGTTGTTATAACGAGGAGTCAATGTCTATCAGTAGGTCAGGTACTGTTCCACCAACCAGAAGGGTTGCATATAGCATTCGAACGGCTTGGTAAACTTTTCTTGTCAGCCAGGCTTCAATGAAATGAAATGAAATGGGGTTTAACGTCCTACTGTTCTGCTCCTAACCTGGGCTAATGAAGACGGGCATACGCCATACAGTGTGCTATGCGAGGGAAATTTTGCCCAGGCAGCGGCGCTACGGCCTACTCTTATATCGAATTCCAAATGCCAAGGGATCTTTTACGTGCAGCGTCTTACCCACTTAGCCACGTAATCCCCCAGCCAGGCTTCACTACCATTGGCAAGTGAAGTCCCAGTTTAAAATAATCCCAGCATTTTCAGCTTGTATTCGAACAAAGAGTGGCGATCATTGTGAAATACAACTGAAATGGTATGATTCCCAAATCTAATATCTTGTTTGTATTTTATATTGTTAGATTCGGCTCCAGATAATCTACGAGTTGTAAAATCCAGCTACAATTCTGTTCAAATTGGTTGGAATAAATCTGAGAGTTGTTATTATTTGACGGAATTCTGGTTAAAGCGGTCAGATCGGGGCCAGAAAGAAAAAGTTCATCGTTTAAATAGGTTTGAAGAAATAGGCTTTTTACAACCCGAAACGAATTACACAGTTGAATTAATAGCCGGTTACGATGGTTATATGAGTGATCCCGTTATCATCGTTTTCATCACAGGTAGGTGACGTAAAATATTCCTTACAACTTGGAATCTCAGAGATATTCCATCTGAATCAGACTAAAACAGTGACGTTTATATACGCCCACATTGTCCAGATTAGCGATGCGGTGAACACTGTAGAATTCGATAACTCGTGTAACAGAAAACGGTGTGATTTGTTTCATGTGTTCCGAAAAAAAAGTTTATAAAATTACAATATTTTTAAATAACTGCTTCCAGAGTTAATGCCCCTGATTATGACGTAGTCTGTGCCAATTCTCTTATAATTCTTAACACTATGCATGTTTTGGTTATCATTTAGTTAACAAATCACAACCCGTACAACTTTTTTCCAACTTCAGGGTCGACTTTGCTCGTGTAGGGTCATGCCAACCAATTGTTCTGACCCCACCCCCAATCTAACCCCAAACCCCCAATCTCCTCCAACAAGCCAACGACCAATAATTGATATTTTCTGTGTTTAAGAGAAGAACCTGTGCACCCCTCCTACCATCTCCCCCAACAAGTCTACGCTCATTAATGATATTTTCTTTGTTTCAGAAAAGAAACCTGAAGAAGCGGGTTTAACAGCTGGAGCTAAAGCCGGGATAGGAATAGGTAAACATTTAAAGATACATTATGTAAGATTTAGATAAAGAACTAGCCATTCTTGCTATAATAGTTCGAAAGTAGATGATGTAAAATGAATAATTTGAAAATTTCATTCAAATTACTCTATTGCAAGCGAAGATATTAGCCTTTGAAGGTTTGACAGACGTGTGCAATAATTTCAACCACCGTACTGGTTGATCGAAGCTAAGTCTCGGTCCTCCATATTTGAATAAATCAAAGTATCGCTGAACCATTCTAATCTATTTAATATCGGAGAAATCTGATGCCATCGAGAGTTGATTAAGGCCTGGATCAGTTAATTAATGTCTAATTAATACTTTAGAAAAACATTTCAGGCCTAAAGAAAGACCTGCAATAGGCAGATTTAGCTCTTGCATAATGTATGTTTAAATACATCAATATTTTATATCATTGTATACATTTATTATTTTCATTTTGTTGTCATTTGCAGACAATTAACGAGGTTAAACACGACACCCCATCCACTTGGCAGACATGACTATCTTACGTTAGATGAATAACTTACTATAATTGACAGCACAAGCTTTGAGCCATCATGTACTTATAGTAGTTTTAACTAACAGAATAATGTATTACTTAGCTGATATCCCAGGTGTTATAATACTTCTAACAAACGGTTTCATTTTTGATGTTAATTTCCCATGATATAATATTGCTAATTACGCTTTTTTCTCTTATCATATTCCAGGTGTTGTAATATTTCTAATTTAATATTTCAGGTATAATTTTACTAATTATTATAATAGTTCTAATCGCTGGTTTTATATATACTGGAGGAGCTTTATTCAGCGTTATCATGGGTCGCACCAAAACTTACAAGAAGGAAGACGACAAGGAGGGACAACCGAAAAGGGTAATTATAGCATATTTGTCATTGGCTTTGTAAGAGGTCAACTCGGGTCAGTTTTAACCTTCTAAAGGTGCTCTTAACCTTAGAGTATTGTAAACATAAACAATGGCCTACCCGTATTGCAAATTCCAACTGTTAAGGGTTCTTTAGCGTGCACACCAATGTGTATACGAAATCTCGGTCTTTCGTCCCATCAGAACGACTAGACGTATATCCTCTGGGGGTGGATGGCCGAATGGTTAGCCCGTGCGCGCTGTATCATAAGGTCTGTCATTGAGTCAACTGGCGTGATTTCGATTCGCTGGTTGTACGTGACAGGGAGTAGGGTCGCCTGTCCAGCCTCGTGGGTTTTCTCCGGGTCCTCCGGTTTCCTCCCACTGCTAAAGACCCCTACGCTCAAAACGAACTGAAATAAAATTGCACCATATGTTAGTCTCCGAAATGACCTTGTTTGTGTCGAGTGGACGTTAACCCCCCCCCTCTCTCTCTCTCTCTCTCTCTCTCTCTCTCTCTTGTTTGTATATCACTTTTTTGACTGTGTTCCATTGTTTAGTTCTCGTGCAAACTTAATGATTTTGTTTTCCAGACATTGTTTAGTGGTGATGAAGACATCTATATATATGGGGTAGGTAGTGGGGGAGGAGTTAACCTTCCCTTGGCACATATCGTACCCAAATGTGATATCGCCTTACAAGAATTGATTGCACAAGGAAAGTTTGCCAAGGTCTACAAGGCCAGTATGACTGGTAAAAACGACCAACAAAGCATTATTGCGGCCAAACTCTTACTGGGTGAGTTTTTAATCGTGTTTATATTTAAGTCTGGGGATTTAAATCTGGTCAACCTCAAACTCTTACTGGGTGAGTTTTTAATCGGGTTTATTTTTAAGAATTGGGTTTTAAATCTTGTCAACCCCAAACTTCGGACAATTTAAGACTTACTTGCACTTATGTTTTATATTCTTTGGCTAATAATTATACAATATTAGGGAGAATTTGGCCTGGGCAGCAACGTTTAAAGACGATCCAACTTTTGGTATGTAGAACGTTGACGATATCTTTAGTACATATTTTTACAGGGCTTTCTTTCATTTACTTGATAGACAATATCACTGTTGATTGTATTTTACTTGGTAGACAACATCACTGTTGATTGTATTTTACTTGGTAGATAAATTTAAAGTTGATTATCATTTACTTTGTAGATAATTTCACTGTTGATTGTCTTTTACTTTGTAGATAATTTCACTGAAGATGAACAGCGATTGATGTGTGCCAAGATAACATTTATGAGTGACGTAATTGGAGAACATCCAAATGTACTACAGTTTATAGGAGCAGTGGTTGATAATGACATCTGTAAGATTTATTTTTAAACATTAATTTCAAATTTCCATTTTTGTCGAGTTAAAGACCCCGGCCAACTTCTTTAATGTTTGCAATATCAAACATAGAAGAACACCCAACTTTTCTAACGTCTGATATGTCCAAAATTGACGTTAAATGATTGCTCGGTATCTAATCTGTTGAATGGGGAAAGAACTGAATTTAAAATTCATCTCTTAACTTCCGTCTCCCTAAAAACAAAATGGGCTTCGAAAGTGGCGACTGGCCGAATACTGTGTAAATAGACTTCAAAAATTGGGGAGAATATTGTTTACTAGTGAATAGGCGTGAAAGAGTGGGAAAATGTTGTTTATATCAGTGGAAAAAATGGCCAAAATAATGTTTTATACAGGGCTAGACAACTGTTTTAAAGGAGGAACAATTTGGGTAATGGAATATCATTTTTCATAAAGGGACCAAGCATAGTAAGTAATAGAACAAGGATAGTAATATAACTTTATTGTTATAGAGGGGACCAAGCGTAGTCACTAGTCATGTAACATTATTTGTATAGGGGGACTCCAAGATTAGTAATAGAACATTCTTTTATAGAGATGACCAGTATTAGTAATAGAACATTCTTTTATAGAGTTGACCAAGGGTAGTAATATAAGATTATTTTATAGAGATGACCAAGGATAGTAATAGAACATTCTTTCATAGAGATGACCAAGGATAGTAATAGAACATTATTTTATAGATATTACGAAGGATGATGACCAAGGATAGTAATAAAACATTATTTTTATAGAGATGACCAAGAATAGTAATATAAGATTATGTTTTTAGGGGGACCCACGATGTTGATAGAATATTGTGAGATAGGTCAACTCATAACCTGGCTTCATGAACATAAAAAATCTGTAAATGATGACATCATTGAACGGTTATTTCAATTTTCCTATGGTATTGTAAAAGGAATGGCCTACTTGTCTTCAATTAATGTAAGTATATATTTATGTCAGTCATCTGAACAAAATCAGGTATAGTCTCGCACGTCACAAATAGTCTCAGACGGCGATTACTGCATGTAATACGTCTATATATAGCAATGGTCTCTTTCTCTGCTCTTCTACTTTTGCGTTGTATTTTTTGGCGACCTTTTCGTCTAGAATCTAAGAAGAATTTGTGAATTTTCATTTCCTGCCAGGTTTTGAATATATGGTCATACAAGAGACGTGAATTACGGTATCATCTACTAAAGAGACGTCACTGCCTATATGTTCGTCTGACCAGGCCTAGCAGGCACTCCTGATGGTCAACCTGATTCAATATTTTTCCAGATGATTGTAACATGATGGACTCTATGTTGTTATGGGATAAAGATCATCGGGAAGTTCAAATAATGTTAAAGGCCAAGAATTGGTATAGATATAACATTGAATTACTAGTCCAACTAGAAAGTGCATTTTCTAGAGTAGCCTCCCTTATCCGTGTCAGTTCAACCATGGACGGTCCATGGTTTAACGATAGTTGTTGTAATTAGATGTCTCTCTTCAGGTTATACACCGACGTCTGGCAGCAAGAAATGTTCTACTGACTTTTGTATTGGAGCCAAAAATAACAGGATTCGGTCCGTCTGTTGTGGATACCACAGATGACCAGAAAGCGGTAAACACAATTTATATATATTTGTCATAAGGGATGTTCAGATCAAAATTTGGAATCCTAAATGAATCTTTCCTTAGGTTAGTGACCCTTTCTGAAATTTAAATCAATGTTCCTAATATTAAAACCTTGTGAACACTCTAATGAGGACGTGAACATTAGTTGATCAGGTTTGAATGTTTACGAATTAATGTCCCAGATGACTTGATGGTTTATTGGCGTATATTAATTGACTAGCGACAAAGGCACTTCTGATATAATATAAACTGGTAATATTTACGAAGAGTGTGATTGTTTACTGTTTATTTTGTTCTGTTCGACCGCAAAAACTGACCAAGGACCTGAATTACAAAAAGTAAAAAGATCTAGATAATGAAAGCCGCCGATCCCGCTCGTGTATTTTGTGGATCATGTTAAATTTTACACGGCCTAATACACGCTAAGATATAATTAGATTGGTTAGCTAATATGTAATTTATCGTTCGTTAAAGAGTGTTTGAACGTAATTTATTTTGATACTCAGATTGGTTATCTAATATGTAATTTATCATTCGATAAAGAGTGTTTTAACGTAATTTATCATTTGATAAAGAGTGTTTTAACGTAATTTATCATTTGATAAAGAGTGTTTTAACGTAATTTATTTTGATAAAGAGTGTTTTAACGTAATTTATCATTTGATAAAGAGTGTTCGTAATTTTTCATTTGATAAAGAGTGTTTTAACGTAATTTTTCATTTGATAAAGAGTGTTTTAACGTAATTTTTCATTTGATAAAGAGTGTTTTAACATGTTTAATACACGCTAAAATATACTCAGATTGATTATCTAGTATGTAATTTATCATTTGATAAAAGTTTTTTTTAACCTGAAACGTTATGAAGATAAATAAACCACCTCTTATTTAATCTCAAGTATGTTTAAGTACTGTTGTTGAGCGGGTATGTTTATCTATTATGTAATTCAGTAAACAAAACCAAAATATGAACAGCAGATAATCTTCCGACTTGGATCCAATCGGATTAAAACGATATCCATTGACAAATTTTACTAAACACCTGTAGGTGGCACTGGATTTTTGATATACAGACGATGTCGAATGCTGCAAAATGTTCAACTGGTCATATCTTATAACATCATGAACTCAATTGAACAAAGTGTCGACTGAAATTCCTCTTTGAGATTCAACTTAAACAATGTTATAGTTTACAAATGAAATGGGGTTTAACATCCTACTGTTATGCTCCGAACTGGGCTAATAAAGACGGGATTATAGTTTGCCAGGGATTCCCTAATCCCTCAAATAATGTTGACGGATGTCAAGGTTTGATTATATCTGACTGTATTAAATGGTGTACGATATTACAACATATTTATTTTTACATGAACTAGGAAAGAGTACCAGTAAGATGGGTTGCTCCGGAATGTTTCCAATCAACTAAAGCCGCTACAGAGAAAAGTGATGTCTGGTCTTTTGGTATTATATTATATGAAATCTTCACTCTGGGTAAGTGTTCTACCAATTTAGACAACCATTTACATGGCAGGAATGATGTTTACTATGGGGGATTCCGGATAACACTCTTCTTCGAATTCAAACTGTGATGATTTCTTTTATCGATTGTTTTCATTTCAGTCATCCCATTTAAGTCGAAATCCAGCTTAAAAGATCCTAATGTTCTACTCAGTTCATGAATCCACAAAACAGTAGAGAGTCCAGACTCTAAATTCCCCTACTCTCAGTACACGGATCTCCCTATTGTCTCCCAGTACACAGGTCTCCCTATTGTCTCCCAGTACACAGGTCTCCCTATTGTCTCCCAGTACACAGGTCTCCCTATTGTCTCCCAGTACACAGGTCTCCCTATTGTCTCCCAGTACACAGGTCTCTCTATTGTCTCCCAGTACACGTGTCTCTCTATTGTCTCCCAGTACACAGGTCTCTCTATTGTCTCCCAGTACGCGGGTCTGTCTATTGTCTTCCAGTACACGGGTCTCCCTATTGTCTTCCAGTACGCAGGTCTCTCTATTGTCTTCCAGTACGCGGGTCTCCACACTTGCAAACATTTTTTTTTGTGTCCGTGGATAAACATGAACTACATACTAGTTCAGATAAAAACCAATTGGTCTTGTATGACACGAATAGATACATTATTAGTACATTAACTCTCAATGAAATACCGTGCCCTAGATATAGTTGTCTGAAAAAAATAAATTTACCTTTCAGGTGACCAACCATATCCGACCTTGACAACAGAGAATGTTGTACCTAAAGTCAGACATGGTCACAGAATGAAACAACCAGAACTTGCTGATGAATTGTAAGTTATATTTAGTTTCTCGTGCTCGTCGTATATTTCAGTGACGTCATGTATCAATAATTATGATGTCATGATTCAATAAGTGTGATGTAAGGTAATCTCAGTTACGATGATTTGATGACGTCATGTTTCAGCAATTGTGATGTAACTATGTCATATAGTTCAGTAATAATGATCTGTCGTCGTCATATTTCAGTAATTATGATGTAAGGATGTCATATATTTACACGGCATCATGATCTGCTGACGTCATGTTGCAGTAATTATGACATAAGAATGTCATATATCAGTATGTACTGATCAGGCCATGTTTCAGTACTTTTGTCATGTCAAATATTTCAGTAATTAAGATCTAATGACGTCATATTTTGGAAAGTTTGATATAATATATTGATGTCATATATTTTAGTAATTATACTCTGGTGACTCATGATAATTATATATTTCAGTAATTATAATCTGATGACTCGATGCTGGAGTGAGGACCAACATGACCGGCCAAAATTTGTGGAGCTCCAGAACATGTATCAACGTTTCATGAATGGCGAGCCTAATGATAATGACTATAGTAATTATTCAAGATATACAGATTAGGTACTTTAAATTAAACACACATATATATGGCCAGAACGCAAAGACATAAAAACATTTGGTTTTTTTGTTTTGTTGGGTTTTTTTTTGGGGGGGGGGGTACTTAAACATACATTATGCAAGAGCTAAATCTGCCTATTGCAGGTCTTTCCCTAACTCTGAAATTAATTAACTTATCCAAACCATAATCAACTCGCGATGCCATCTTATGTGTCTGATTTTCTCTGGATTTGAATCCGATCTACTGCTCAACGCTCATTGATGATTAAAAATCGAGACTATGTTTTTTTTATTATTGTACCGACTTTAGTAATGATGATCGAGAATAGACTTAAAATTCAAAAGCAAAATATCTCGGTTAAGAGTGGAGTAATTGGACTGAAATTTTCAACATATTCTATTTACATTATCGATTTTTTAAAACTATTTTAGCGAGAACAGTCAACTCTTTATCTTATCTCCCATAATGCCTCTTCAACTTAATTATCGTTCTTTAGTTTGTTTTAGTTCTTGCGGTAAATTATAATATCAATATTTTCATTTAGATATAAATTTAGCCCAATCAACAATGTGTTATTGAGACTATTTTAACCGGTGATTAGTTTAAATATTTTAGATAGTCGTTATCTACAGTTTAATATAGGCTATGCTTGTTCCCTATCCCTATTCAGATATAAATCTGAATAAAAATATTGTTTATAAAAAACGACCCCCACCCGGCTTCATATTTATCCCGTCTTTATTAGCCCAGTCGGAGCAGAACACTAGGACGTTAAACCCCATTTGATTTTATATATTTGAACTCAGAACATATTACTGATGCGTTTCTCGTCTGTGGATATATGTATGTTTGTGTTCAGGTGTTAGAAGACGGCGATACTATTTTCTATGGTCGGTAAAATACTAATCTCTCTCTCTCTCTCTCTCTCTCTCTCTCTCACTCATATTAGCACAGTCAGTGTATTAAAGTAGGTCGTTAAACCTCATTTCATTTTATTTTAGCTTGCATAAGAATATATTATATATATTATATATTTTATCGTTTTTTGTATATCAAGCTTTTTATATTTGGATTCTATTGTTGTAGCATGATAACATGTTTGCTTGTTTGTTCCTGGAATTGTAGAAATTGTTGGTCAAAGCACGCGAACGAATTCTGAAGAATTATAGCTGCTATACGCCATAATGTCTAAAAGGACTGGACTATATTGTAGAAAGTTTTACGACTTGATGATCTTTATTTGTTATAAATTAGCCATTTATATAGGACTACTGTCGTCTGCGTTCATGCTTTGTATTTTTGTATGAAATAAACTTTTTTTATATTACTGAACTGTTTACTTATGGCGGGGGTTGAAATGGAAATTCAGTTAGTCTTCTTCGATTCTAGATAAGAGAGTCAACAAAATTAGAATGCTAAAAGGGTGAAAGGGGAAAAAGAGCGAATTGCTACAAATAGGAGCATTGCCCTCTATTACTAGTCTTACTCCATTATTATTAAATTATAAAAATGGAGTTATTTCCCCTTCCCCAGCAGTATCGAAATAATTTCTCTCTGTTGTGAATAGAGCTCGGCTCAAAATGGAGACTTTCATCAAAGAGCTTTCTGTGAATAAGAGCGGATTCAGGAAACTTTTGAAAGGGTCGATTAGGGATGGGGCGGAGAGGCATGGGCGGGGGGGGGGGGGGGTCATTTAAGCACACTTTCCTGTGCGTCAAAGTTTGTTCACCTCGCCCATCGTTAAATATTTAGATGTTGGGTTGGCGGAATGGCCGCTGTCCCGGGCAAAATGTCTCTTTTAGTACACTACATGACAAAAGCATGATGTAAACTTGTCCTCATTAGCCCAGTCGGTGTAGAAGAAAAGCTTAGTGAAAGTCCACAATGGAGTTTATGTTATTTACTAGCTTCGATGAAAGACCACCTCGAGTATTTATAGAAGAACGATATCATGCTCATGGCATGTGTGATCTTAAAATCGACAAAGAATAAGTAACATGTGACTAGAATAGATGAGACAATAATTAAATCCTTGAGTGATACATTAGGGAACTTAACAAAACAACTGGCGTCCCCAATAATACATGAATAAAGGCCCCGGTTTGTACAGAAGCCAAGAATACACACATAGAAGGCGTACTGTTTGAGAATAATAAATTCAGATTTATATTATATGATATCATATATAGTGTTTAAACTTGAACTATTAAGCCACAATGGGGTCACCACGAGTGACAACTACGTGTAATCATACTCTTCTCAAAAAATATTTTGGGGTTTTCTATAATCGATATCTAAACGCTACAAATACATACCTCGTGGGTTTTCTCCGGGTCCTCCGGTTTCCTCCCACTGCTAAAAACCCCTACGCGCAAGCGAATTATTGAAATAAAATTAAACCATATGTTAGTCCCGAAATGACCTAGTTTGTGTCGAGTGGACGTTAAACCCCCCCCCTCTCTCTCTCTCTCTCTCTCTCTCCAAATACATCAAGACAAGCTTTTGAACTGCTATGTAGCCATTATTTGTGAAATTGTAAATATATTGTATGGCCTCTTGTAAACATCAATAATGGAACTCATCTGTAAATACATATTTTGTTATAAATTAAAATTAATGAACTAAACATAAGATTGTGTATTTAAAAAAGTAATAAAATTAACGACCGTGTACTTATGACTAGTAAACACAGACTAAATATTATTTATAGTTGAAAAGCGTCACAAGGCCATCAGAATAAAGATGTTCACGATCCCATAATGCAGACATAATGTAGACACACCTTTAACAGACTATCAGATATATACAATTACACGTACCCACAACATAGCGTCGAAGATAATAATTTCTATTCATTGGTTGGCCTGGCGGGGTCTGGGGCGTGTGTGTGCCGAGGGGATTCGGTGACGTCCCAGAATTCGGACGATTACCGTGATTCTGTGATCCGAATCTACATTGATTCTGCCACGCATCAAACATTTACCGAAGTCATGCTTTGAATACTTCGCCCTATAGACAGCAACGCCTTCGCAACTGCACAAGACATCATGTAATTGGATTAAGGATGACAGACCACGTGTTGACGAGGGCACACAGCCCCGAATTCATTTTTCAGTTTTCGTCAGTATTTAATCTCAGAATTTATAACTGAAATAACTATTTGATTTTGTCGGATGTTCCAATATCATAGCATGCCACCTTGGTATGCCATTGTGATACACGTTATGCACTTATTTTCTGGTTATTTGTATTCTATAGTATATCGATGGTATGTTCCGAAAAATCATGCCGATTTCTGATGGTATGTTTGCAGCTTGTCTATGGAAGACCAAACTTCAAAGCAATTTTTTTTTTTACAAATCAGAAATTTGTCACATCAGATTTGTAATAATAATGTATCTTTGTTTAATTTCATTGCATTTTAATATAAAGATAAAATTTATTTTAGACATACAACAAATTTACAAATACAAATATTGCAAAACATTTCAACAAAAACATTTCTCGAAATTCATCGAACCGGAACATTACCTGGAATAAGACAACAAGTGAAGAAATAAGAAATAAGAATCAAGGACTATGGATTAAGAACTAATGAAGCGCTATTTCGTCTTCCATAGTGGATGTATCATTGTATTCTTAGGCTGAGCGAATGATGAATAACTATAGAAGCCTATAACTACAATTCATAATTTCTACTTTTCGCCCCTTCAAAACATGAAGAGAGAGAGAGAGAGAGAGAAATGGGGTTTAACGTCCACTCGACACAAACTAGGTCATTTCGGGACTAACATATGGTTTAATTTTATTTCAATAATTCGCTTGCGCGTAGGGGTCTTTAGCAGTGGGAGGAAACCCCTGTTTTTTTTCCTAATTTCTTATTTTATGAATGGCAGTTATAGGCTTCCATAAATAACACATAACGTAACACGTATATACTTTAAACTGTAAACAACAAAATTTTTCTTTCTTTTACTTCCTTGTTGATTGACGGGTGGTTGGTTGTAAGATATTATAGTATATATTATTTATTGAGGGACAGTAACATAAGATTAGCGGCATGGAGGTGAAAGGACTGATTTTGAAATGCCTACCTCTCTTGTTTTTAATCCTGTGTCTATATACAGACAAAGCTCGGTAAGTATAAGTTTAGAAGTTATATATTCAAGTTTGATATGTAATAATATTGATTTGGCGATATTGTACATTATGCAAACAATATCTAGGAACATGAGCTCAAAAGAAACTGGCTGGGCATTCTCAAAGGCCCCAAATTGTCGAACAGTGTCCAAAATAATCTGTGATTAGGCCAAATCAGTAGTTGACGAAATTTTATATATTCTCAAAGGTTAGATTTTGATTAGAATTTTTCGCGAAGTCAATGGGTTCCGTAGGGGGGTCCCAAGGAAAAAGAATGTTCACGAAATACGATAGCCAAGTAAAAGTAGAGCACGAAATGTTTGGTCTTCGGATAATGAATTTCAGTAACTGATATCCAGTCACATCTGTTCTTGTTTTCAGAAGGAATAGAAGCACAGGAAAGGACTAAAAAAGTGTCATCACTACAATGCGAACATCTTTCGGATTAACATTAGAATTAATCATTATTTGTAAATATTCTGTATAAATTTGCAGTATCGCTAGTCATTATTTACTTTTCCGCTTTTTAGGGTTTTTATATTAGTATACTTTCCCACGATAAGGATATTATGGGCCTCGTGCGCCGATCGCTTGGAAGCAGTACTGGATTCAAATGAAGAGAGGCCCTGGATTATTCCACTTATAAGGCTCCTCCCAATAGGCCATCCACATTGTAAATATTTCACTATGTATATAACATGTAATTTTCTGCGATATCACCTCGGTGGAAGCGGACGTTAAATAAAGCTATTTCACACACACAGGCCATCCGCACGACCAGAGGTTAATGAAAGTGTTTATTAGAGTCGAGGATGATGACGGATGCTTAAGACTATTTATGACTGTCAAAAATATTATAACCCCCCCCCCCCACCACGGATCTTGATGCCCTCGGTTTGAGTTTGCCAAACCTATACCTACCAAGTCCATCTAAATTCGTATGTTGTCTTGTAGTACTTCGGATGCGCGTTAGCTATTACATTGCGAAAGAGTGCCACATAGAAAGATCCCCTAAAATGATGATATACATAAATAGATTGCTATTTGTATTTTCAGAAGTGGTTGGTGTTACTATAGAGAGGCGTACGATGAAAGATATTGTACTTGTACACAATACCTCTGTGATCAGGGGTTGAACAGTTGTTTTAATCACAGGTAAATATTAGTACAGAATCATAACAAGTAGGCATGCATGATCTCTTTGTTTGGATAGAAGTCAGTTTGATGTCATATGATTAATTATGTTATGATATTTAGTGGATATATATATATATATATATTAACATTGCTTCATGGACCAAGTCGATGTATAGATAGAGTCCGCTTTTAACTATAACAAACGTAGTCTGCAAAACGTAGTCTATTTTTTAAATCATTATAAGAAGAACGGACAGCTTTTTACCTAAATCTTACATAAGGCATCTATAAGTGACCGACATATTTAACAGTTGTACTATACAATGTATTGTCTATTGTAGCACAAATCAGAAATGTCCTCGATTCTGATTGATTGAAAAGTGTGTTGTCGAATGAACAATACCCCCCCCCCCCCCACACACACTAAATTATCAAGGTGAATTACTGCGTATAAATATAGCAGTGTACTTTTTTCCATTTTTGTGCACAATGATCTTCCCCAACTCACCATTCTTCACTTAATGAGGTGTGTTACGTTTAATTTGATCGGGAGACGTATTCGTCGACATTAACATCAACCGACAAGAATTGGCCGTGGCACTGCAAGAAGAGTGGGTAAGATTGCCCCTAATCGTGATTGGACGGTTGGTTAGGAGCATGCCACGACGAATTGCTGAATGACTGAGGATTGGTGGAGCAATTACTCATTATTATCAAGACAAAAATCAAAAACGTCCATTTTCACTTTTGACGGTGTATCTCCTTGAGAGTGAAATGGGGCCGTCAGATAAGCCGCCCATATGAACTGTTTATGTTCATGTGTAGGCAATTGGCCAGTTATTAACATACACTGGTTACCTCTAATAAAAACAGTAGTGCATTTTCACAGTTTTGTATTGTTTCTGAATATCCCCTACTTCTTTTTGAAGAGTATATTATACGTGCCATCGCTGTAATTAAAATATTAATTATATATTTGATTATAGCTATACATATTAATGCAGTAATTAATGTTTTTAGAACTAAGCACAGAACAGTACGTCGTTGTTGTTCTGGTTACACTGGTGGTGAATGTCAACGTAAGTAGAAGTTTTAAGGCAATGTGAAGTTGGCAATTCTGGATTCACGAATAACGAATAACGAGCAAGCACGTTATTCGGAATTTAGTAGTTAACTGCCGAATCTCGAATAACGTGCTGGCTCGTTATTCGGGATTCGCGAATAACGAATAACGAACCAGCATATTATTCGGGATCCGACCATTTCCTCGTTAACCCCGACCGCAGGTGTAAGTCACTCCTGCTAACTGGACTTGCTGGTCCATGTGTATTTGTCTTGTTCAGTATTAAATAGTTTCAAGGATACTGACAACGGCGTTTACGTATTACTGAAACTGTTCTCATATTATCAGATTATCTACAAAGCGGATTTCGAATGCGTACAGGGTTATAATTTACAAACAGAGGGAGGATCACTTTATCAAAGTAACAAATTGGCTCAAAAATAATTGATTCGATCAATCTTAAGATGCGGCATTTAAAGTTAACATTGTACTAGATTATATTATTAATGTATAATATATATTACTGAGGTATTTGGTCAATGTAGTTTTTGTCAAGTGAACCATTTGGCAGTAGTTATTTTAATCGTATCTGATGAATATAGTTTATACATTGTTAATGTATATTATCTCGTTCAGTAATGTGTTTTATACTTCAACACACAATATACTTGTATTGAACACTAGTCGGCAATTATATAAAGTCGCTAATATTATAGTAGACTACACTTATTACATGTAACTATGAACATGAGTGTGTTTAATATGCACAATGGGTAGACCACGAGTGCATTGAAATGTATTAAAATGTTCGAAGTCTTTGTTATTGTATTGATACAGTATTAAATTACAGTCCATTATCCTGTGCCAAATTCAGCCTTGATTGAGAAACAAACCGGTATAAGTCATGAAATTCAAATTGGGCACTAGTAATAACAATATTCCATATAGGGACAAAATAAATTTATAAAGCTTTATTAACACCCAACATTACCTACACATAATTGTCACAGCTCCAAATAATATAGTCCAGGCAAGATAACATAAGTGCGGGAAGTTGTTACAATAGAAATGCCGACCATAGTTGTCACAGCTCCAAATAATATAGTCCAGGCAAGATAACATAAGTGCGGGCAGCTGTTACAATAGAAATGCCGACCACTGTTTATGGTCGGTCTTGACATATATTATCACCAAATAAAAGTCCCAGTCCGAAATCCGTGCCCAAATGGGTCAAATTGGCCAAAATCCAAAATGACCGCCTGTTTTGGCTTGTAAATTCTGATTTCCACCCAATTATCATAATATGACCGAGTTTAGTATCAAACTCGGGGTTTTCTGGGTAACTGAATCGATTCCCATACACATTTTTAAGATAAGTGGTACTGTTGAGTCAATATTGGGGGTATTCAAGATAGTGGTCAGTTTTGGCGGGAAAATTCGATTTTTACATAAGGATCAACTTTGGTGTCAAAAAATACGTTTTCGAGGAAGCTGAATCCATCCTTGTGCATATTTTATTTATTTAAAAGTGATTCCCTGTACCAATATAGGAGAAATTCCAATTAGGGATTTAGATTTCCAATTGGGGGACTCCAACCTTAAACCTAATACAATGACATTCATCCAGTATCAACTAAATTTGATTTGGAGTGTCGCACAGCTCACGTCGGTAGGGGCGTAGGGGTCTGTCGATTGGGGTCACTGTGGAAGCTGGTGGTGCCTTTTGAAGCACATGGCGATTTTTTTTTTCACAAAATTATTCAAATGTTGAAACACAGATGGATACAATATCGCCCGTTTGTCAGATATGCAGTGAACCATTTGATAATGAACACCCCACCGGTATTGCCCAAATAGAGGCGCCTTATCAAGGTCTAGACAGTCCGCGGTGCCAAAAAATTTTTTTGTGGATCGTTGTCTTTTACATGGTCTGTAGGCAAGACGGCCCATTACAACAGATATAAACGGTGACAGCTGTTACAACAGTAAACAGTAGAACTCGCAACACCTATTTTCTGGACATGCCAAGAGAGGACATATGACGACTGGGCATGAATGCCATCGTATTAGATCTGAGACAGAAACGACTACTCTTAATCCCGAAATCTCCAATGGTATTTCCATATATTTTGACCCACTGGTACCAGTAATTACCAAGATGAAAAGGTGTCGAAAATGGAATCATATAATGATAAATGGATCAAAATTGACATTTTCCAGTCAAAATTGGTGGCCCATTTGTATTTTTGCCAATTTGACCCATTTGTGTACGGATTTCGGACTGGGACTTTTGTTTGGTAGTAATATACGTCTAGACCGACCATAAACCGTGGTCGGCATTTCTATTGCAGCAACTGCCCGGAATGGTGCAAAATTGAGTTAAAATGCCTGGACTAGCATTAATATTCCTTATTCATTATACTTCCTTGTTGATTGATATGTGGTTGTAAAATATTAAAATATATATTATTTATTGAGGGACAGTAACTTAGGATTAAAGGCATGGAGAAGGATTGGTTTTGAAATGCCTGCCTCTCTTGTTTTTAATCCTGTGTCTATATACAGACAAAGCCAAGTAAGTATAAGTTTAAGAGTTATATTAAAGTTTGATATTTATAGACCGGAGGCTCTGTTTGGGGTGGGGTGGGTGGGGGTGGTCATCAAATGGGCACAAAACCAGACCCAACTTTTCTAGAGTAAAATTTTGCGTAGAATATGATGCCGAGTGGTAATCGGTTCACCGTTGGGGCGTTTTCAAGATATTCAGGAGTCAAAGGTCAAATGGGGTCATTTGCACTGAAAGGGAATGCGCAGCCATTCTTATATATCATGAAATCATGCTGAAAATGGTCGAAGGTAATCATTCTTTCAATAAAAATGTAAACTTGCTAAATTCACCTTTGTTGGTTGTGACCCCGGAGGTCAAAAGGTCAAATTTTCCATTTTTACACTAGGAAGATATAAAGCAATAAATGTCCGCGTAAAATATAAAAACTAAAGCGAAATCTGTTCTAATTAATAATAGGAACATTTAAAACTTATCTTTAGGTGGTCTTAGCACCGTACATTATCATACTTTGGCACATTTAAAACCAATTTGTCACGAGAACACCACCGTCTGTGACATGTGTCCCTGTAGATGTTCACGTCGTACTATTGACTTTATTTTGTATTTAGAGAATTTGATAGACCTTTCGCACCGATAGTCGTTTAGAGATTGCAACGCGATAAAGTACCACGTAGAGAAGGTTAAAAAATGTCGATATCTTATACAAAAATATTTTATTTGGCCTAAATTTTTTTTTTTAATGTCCCCCGCCTTTCGAAGAAAGCAGGGGCTTATTAAAATGGGTTCGTCTGGTTGTCTGTCTGTCGGTGTCACTTTTTGGGACACAATAGCTCTTTTTCTAATTGAGCTACAATGTTCAAACTTGGTGTAGGTGTTTATTAGGTCAATGCCTTGATGGAGTTCGAAGATGAGCATTTTCTGCTCAGGGTAAGCAGAGATAAGCAATTTGTTTGGTTGATGCTTTGGGACACGATAACTTTAGTTCTAATTAAGTGAGATTGATGAAACTTGGTGTATAGTTTCATTACATCAATACCTTGACTAAGTTCGATAATGAGCATTTTCTGCTAAGGGTAAGCAGAGCGATAAGCAATCCGATTGGCCGAGAATTTGTAACACAATAAATCTCCTTCTAATCGAGCTAGGATGTTGAATCTTGACGTTGGTGTTTATTAGGTCAATGCCTAGATGGAGTTCGAAGATGAGCATTTTCTGCTTAGGGTAAGCAGAGATAAGAAATTTGATTGGTTGATGCTTTGGGATACGATAACTTTACTTCTAATTTAGTGAGAGTGATGAAACTTGGTGACAGTGTAAAGTTTCATTACATCAATACCTTGACTAAGTTTGATGATGAGCATTTTCTGCTCAGGGTAAGCAGAGCGATAAGCAATTTGATTGGTCGAGACTTTGGAACACAATAACCTTCATTCTAATTGAGGTAGAATGTTCAAACTTGGTGTAGGCGTTCATTAGGTGAATGCCTTGACGGAGTTCGATGATGAACATTGTCTGCTTAGGGTAAGCAGAGATAAGCAATCTGATTGGTTGATGCATTGGGGCACAATAACTTTGGTTATAATGAAGTGAGGGCGACGAAACTCCGAATATAGATTCATTATATTATTAGCTTGACTAAGTTCGATGGTGAGAATTTTCTGCTTAGGCTAAAGAGCGATAAGCAATTTGATTGGTCAAGACTTTGGAACATAACAACTCTGCTTTTAATTGAGGTAGAATGCTGAAACTTGATGTAAATGTTCATTAGGCGAATGTCTTGACTGAGTTCAATGATTAACATTTCGAGCTAAAGCTAAGCAGAGCTAATCAATTTCATTGGTCGATGATTTGGGACAAGATAATGTTGATTCTATCTGTTAGAGAGTGGTGAAACTTAGGTATAATTGATAATCTGTTTGATTGCTCGATACTTTTGAAAAAAAAAAATGTGCGATTAATAAATATGGGTCATCTATTTATTTTGGAATTTTGGCGGGGGACATCAGCCTCACTGTTGGCTTGTTTAAATTGCAGTTGGTGCAGCTATAGCCAGCGGTACGATGAAGGGTATTGTGTTTGTAATACTCCATACGAGTGTGCTCAGGGATGGCCACATTGTTCTAAGACCAGGTATATATTATTATTACATATGATTAAAGATACATTATGGGAGATTTTTATAAGGAGTTAGCCATTCTTGCTATAAAAGATGATGAAAGAAGAATATATTCAAAATTTCAGTCAAATTACTTTATTCTGAACATAGTTATCACCAGTGTAATTTTTGACTAGAAATGGGATTAAATCCATCTTCACCGATTCTTAGTATGGGCGATCATTTGATTGACAGGCGTTAACTCCGCCTACATAATCTCTGCTGTCTTTTGTCTGCTGTCATCATATCCGAATTTGTGTTTTACCTTTTTGGATTTTTATAACAATTGGACAAAATGAGTGAGAGGGTAAATTTTCATTCTTACTTGTATTTTGGGCATGCATTAAATCAATTGAATATAGAACATAATATTATAATACAATTATGATAAATCTATAGGTATACACCAGTGGGGCCGTGCCTATTAGGGAAATAAAAATATTTTCATTGATATTATTAAGACAGAAGACCTGTCCGTCTGTATTAGTCATCACACGGTCTCCAGGAATTGTATAATTTGTAATTATCTGTGTTTAGTTTATTGCACTTTAAATAGTTTAGATGTCATTTGTTCAGGCATCGCTCAACAGTGGCCTCACTTCGTACACTCTATCATTTAGCCTCGATCCGGGAGTATTTTGTCAACGTAACGGTTAATCTCCGCTCACGACGCCATTTAAAATTAAATCAGTCAACGAAATCCCGTTTAAATCCAAGCTGAATCCAAGCCATCCGTGGGTCTACAGAGTTGATTTTGTGCTTGTTGTGTAAATAAAGATCTAATTTATAATTTCTATGAGATCTGAAGCCTAAATAAAGACTTGCAATGATCAGATTTAGCTCTTGCATAATGTATGTTTAATTATGTTGTGATATTTAGTGGATATATATGTTAACATTGCTTCATGGACCAAGTCGATGTATAGATAGAGTCAACTTTTAACAAAAGCTAAGTTTATTATACATAAAAGTATAATATTGTGAAAGAAAATAATGTGCCATCAGCATATTTCAATTTTGTTCTAAATCAACATTTCCTTCTCCTTTGTCTTATGGAAGGCCAAACAACTCTTTATTCGGTGTACTTAATTCTTAATTCATGTACATATATATAATGTATCACCGGAGAGTAGTCTTTGAATATACGCGTATTAGTTATTTATTGGCACAATTCGTGATTACATGTCCAAAGAAATTATTATGCCGCTATCAAGAAATAGAATACTTTCAAATTATTTTATTTAATGCTAGATGGGATTAAGCAATACATATAGAATTATAACTCTATGGATTAGCCATAACAAGCACGTGAATTCACTAAAGTCACGGTCATCGAGCGATTGTTCTTATTGTATGCTTGTTGTAATACTATAGGGGGGTGGGGGTGGATGGCCGAATGGTTAGCACGTGCGCGCTGTATCATAAAGCCTGTCATTGAGTCAACTGGCGTGGTTTCAAATCCCCGGTTGTAAGTGACAAGGAGTAGGGTCGCCTGTCCAACCTCGTGGGTTTTATCCTGGTCCTCCGGTTCCCTCCCACTGCTAAAGACCCCACACGCGTAAGCGAATTATTAAAATAAAAATAAACCAAATGTTAGTCCCGAAATGACCTAGTTTGTGTCGAGTGGACGTTAAACCCCATTTCTCTCTCCCCCCCCCCCTCTCTCTCTGTGTGATACTATAGGGTTTATTTTAGTTTTAAGAAAGGTGTTCTGTTTAAGATAGAAATTCTTTACCTACATGATGTGTGACGATATGTGTCCATTACCGCAGCCACGATAATAAGTAATCTACGTTATATCTTCAAACAATGATACTAACTTCGCTCAGAATAAAGTAATTTGAATAAAATGTTCAATATATTAATTTTTCATTATCTATTATTATAGCAAGAGCGCCAAGGCCTTTATCTAAATCTTACATTTTAAAACTATTATAGCTAGAACGTCCAGCCCTGTATCTAAATCATACATAATGGATCTCTAGGGGACTCCCATCTTTAACAACGATAATATATTGTCTACGTGTCATCGCTTTAATTAAAATATTAATTATACATATGCCTTGTACAATGTAGGTATACATATTAATGTTTTTAGAACTAAATACAGAACAGCGCGTCGTTGTTGTCCTGGTTACTCAGGTGGTGGATGTCAACGTAAGTAGATGTTTTAAATTCATTCTATTTCTCTTCAATAAACTGATGAGGGATTAATTCTACATATTTTTGTATCCACTTTTATTTACTAGGCTGACATAACTTTGAATGAACCCTTGTTAATAATTTAAATTTAGGGCAATATCAGCAACATTACATTAAATGAAATCTGTCCGTTTGTTTTTTCAATCAAACTGACACAAAGCATTGGTTGTTAATGCCACACTATTCTTCAAACAGAAGCGCATTCTTTGCAAATAAACATACCGACATGTTTTCGTTAATATATATAGATAATTATGAACACGGTGCGCGACTTCGATTAAAAGGTCAGTAATGCATAGTATTTAAGTCGAGATCTGATAGCCAGTTTGGCTTAATGGAGAGACATAACTCAACCTCATAAGACAATTGATAATCGTGACGTAGGCTACACATCTCACTAGAAATCTATAAAATGATTATCCAGGAACTAACATGGCTTGTCTGCGATATCACTTCGGTGGAAGCGGACGTTAAATAAAGCTATTTCACACACTACCATGGCATACAATATTAGGGATTTAGGGCAATACTCACTAGGAAAATAAAAGTTTGTATTTCTTCGATCTTCGATATAATATTATCTAAGAGTCTTTTATACAGCATCAACGGGTTTTATGCACTATAAATATGCAGGCCTCTGCATGGGGAATTAGTTGTGTTTTGTCTGTCCTGGTGAATGGTACATAGATAATATAGTTATTATTTATATTTATTACAGCTATCTGTAATGGTAAAAGAGGATCCACAGCATGTGATGCTTATTTCCCTGATTCACATATAATCAATACTAATGGTAGTATACAGAGACGGGTTGATGGTACTTGTGTTAGTCCCAATCGTTGTGCCTGCTCAACACCCGGATTTTACTCTACTGGACCAACATGTGATAGTAAGTAGAATTCTAATATTATTATGTCGTTTAATGCATGTGACCATGATGTTACGTTAAATGTTATTATAATACGCAATGGCATATATCTTTGATATTAATGTCTGCACGATAGTGTCTGTCATAAAACGTAATGGATATAATAATTAATTGATATCATGATACTTAAAATTGTTATCATAAAACTTAATTTGTATCATAACATTTAATTTGTATCATAACATTTAATTTGTATCATAACATTTAATTTGTATAAGTTATATTTATAGCACGGCTTTCATGAGTTAACAGGTTTAACCAGAGGCCGAAGGCCGAGGGCTTAAACCTGTTAACGAATGAAGCGTGCTATAAATGACTTGTAACATTGACAACTGCTCAACATGCATATTATTGTTACTGCACAGAAAACTGACCCCACTTCTGTATATGATTTCTACTAAAACTAGTGTAAACCAGCAAAAGTGTGCAATAACATTGAACATGTCTAGTTATTGCACGGTTAAGCTCCACCCAATCTGCTAGAGGGAAAACAATCTGCTTATTCAAGGAAAAGAACAATTAATATTTAATTGACGGAAGATATTCTTTCGACTAATAACCTTTTCTCTCTCAACCATTGAATCAAATCGATCCAGAGCCGATCTTGTTAAAAAGAAGACACTCATTCAAAAAAGACACATATATAACCCAAGGATGGAAGGCCTACCCGTACATTTAATTCAACGGCCAGTCTCGCCTTGGTTAACAAACGAGAGGCACATACTAGTCGCCCCCACTTCCGATATCCATCGCATTTTAGTCGAACCCATGACTTCCATAGTCATATAACTAAACTATGTGGTACTAACCCGTACCCAAATATATTAAACCGCTCGGGCTCAAAATCTTAGAATTGAGTTACGAAAGTTACCTCAAAACGTGTTATGAAATGTTACTAAAATTACATTATGCTGATAGGATTAAGGAATTGTTGTGTATTTATGGCTTTCGATATGTTTGATTATGTCAGAAAGTAGGAATTCAAGCAAAGAGTGGCAGACTGTGGCGCCCTAAAATGGCATGAATATAGTCGGATTCGATTTGTTACCAAATTCCCATCCGTCGGCTTTTCGGGTAGAAATCATGGAATAAGCTTTATTTTGTAGGTTTTGATGTTTGATTACAAAAAAACAATGTTGACATTTTTTCTGAGTAGGTCTTCATAGTATGGGAGGCCATTATTTGAGGGTAGCCATTTTGCGATAATATTCCAACTTATTTTATTATTTTCACCTTATTTATAATGTTATCGACATATCAACTGTGATTTGGCAATGTATTAATATTGGCAGGGTTCATGACTATACTTCAGATTGTTTTCCATCATTTCAGTATGATATTTCCAAGATGGCGACCATTTTTGGCGGAAAATCGGACGATGTGCTGATTTCGATTAAGTAGTAGTGCTTGGTGTCAATATATATGTTTTCATGGCCACAGATTCCATTCCTGATATTTACAACCTTGTAAAATGATCACATGTTCATATACTTAGCATATTTCCAAGATGGCGGTCATTTTTGGCGGGAAAATAGGACCATGTGCTGATATTGATTAAGTAGTCGTCGTTGGTGTCAATATATATGTTTTCAAGGGCAGAGAAGCCATTTCGGTTAGTAACAACTGTGTAAAATGATTATTTTGCACATTTACAATATGACGGCCATTTTTTGGCGGGAAGATGGAACGATGTGCGGATATTGAATAAGTAGTCGTCTATGGTACCAGGATATAATTTTTGGGGAGCAGATTCCATTTTTGCCGTTTACAACTGTGTAAAATTACCACATATTCACATATTTAGCATATTTCCAATATGGCTTTCATGTCGGGCGAGAAAATGGGACGATGTGCTGATTCCGTTTACGTAGTCGCGTTTTTGTATCAATATTTGTTTTTCGGGGGCGCAGATTCGATTTCTGCCATTTACAACTGCGTGAAATGGTGGTATGTTCACACATTCAGCATATTTTTGTTTGTGGCAGAACGTTTTCTAAACACAATATACTGTAAAGGTTTCTGAATCCAATTCTGCTATGTATAAGCTTGTAGCATGTTCCTGGAAGCCTGTGCCGAGTTTACCCATTAGGTATATTATCCAACAATGTTGTAGTTGAACTCCAGCGCAATATCATTCCACATGTTCGTTCTACAATCATCTTGGAAGTCAGTTGATAAAATAATCTACATGTATGCTATGAGGGCTTCTTAGCAAGTATTTCATTTACAGCCACGTCCCCACCACTATCATCCACGTTGCTGCCAGGCTGGAACGAAGCTCCTGGCCATATGCTTGCTATGCTGTTACGACCTTTATGTATATATAGGGAAGATACTGGGCCTCGTACACCAGCCCCAGTCTAGCACCCAAAGAGGAAACCTCAAGAATACTATGAAATGTTCTTGATTGCTTGACTGTTGGTTGTTTTCTGATTTGAAAGTGAATGAGGACGGGTGAGCATGGCACAGTCTCTATAGACGTGACGAGAGAACGCCTTACGCCTGGTAGGCATGTCACTGGAGTGTGGTGAGAAAGTATCCCGGTCTGACTGGTAACCGCGAGAAAATGGTGGGAACACTATTCGCGCAGCCAGATCTTGGCCATGAGCTTAGAAAGATCTTGTAGTAAGCGCTTGGTGTGGTCGTTGCAGGCGCATGATGGGCACGTGGCGTAAGCACCACGCTGCCGCTATGCTCTTTTTGCCTTCATGCCAGGAATAGGCTTTACTTTCCCGGGAAAATCGATGATAAATAAATGCTAATAAATAAATGCTAAAAATGTCCACCATCTTGGAAATATGCTAAATTGGTGAACATACGACCGTTTTACGTAGTTGTATATGACAGAAATCGAATCTGCCTCCCCGAAAACATATATATTGTCACCAAAGACAACTACTTAATCGAAATCAACCCATCGTCCGATTTTCCCGCCACAAGTGGCAGCAATATTGGAAATATACTAAATATGTAAACATGTGATCATTTTACAAGGTTGTAAATGTCAGAAATTGATTCTGCGTCCCCGTAAACATATATATTGACATTAAACACGACCACTTAATCAAAATCTGCACATCGTCTCATTTTCCCGCCAAAAATGCCCGCCATCTTGGTAATATGCTAAGTATATGAACATGTGATCATTTTACAAGGTTGTTAATGTCAGGAATGTAATTTGTGACCCCGAAAACATATATATTGACACCAAACACTACTACTTAATCGAAATCAGCACATCGACCGATTATCCCGCTAAAATGGGCGCCATCTTGGAAATATCATCATGAAATGATGGAAAACAATCAAATCTGAGATATAGTCATGAATGCTGTCAATATTAATACATTGCCAAATCACAGTTGATATGTCGATAACATTATAAATAAGGTGAAAATGAAAAATAATTTGGAATATTATCGCAAAATGGCTACCCTCAAATAATGGCCTCCCATACTGTGAAGACCTACTCAAAAAAAATGTCAACATTGTTTTTTTGTAATCAAACATCAAAACCTACAAAATAAAGCTTATTCCACGATTTCTACCCGAAAAACCGACGAATTTACATTAACGATCGGACTAGAAAACATAGAAAATTGCAGAAAACTTGGTTTCTATTGTGAGAAAACATAGAAAATTGCAGAAAACTTGGTTTCTATTGTGAGATCATATCTCTATCAGAACTAGACAAATACCTGTCAAATGTTGAAAATGAATTGTGTAGAGTTGCTTACCGTCGGCTCAGATTAAGTAATTTAAACATAGAGAAAGGTCGAGAAAACAGTATAAATAGAACTGAGAGATATTGTCAATTGTTCTGTATAACTAAATGCAAATCTGTGGTAGAAGACGAATTACACTTGTAAAACTATAGGGGTTCTTTTAGTTGTAAGAAAGGTGTTCTGTTTAATATAGAAATTCTTTACCTACATGATGTGTAACGAAAACGAGGTCAGTTAAGTACCTTGCAGTAATCTACCACTTTTTTAGACTAACTCACCGACAGTTTTATCGGTATCCATTTCTGGTCAATAGGGTACTATCGTCATCTCGTGAACAGATTAGTATAATTAACTAGAAAAGTGTTGACGTAAAACGGTGCCTATACGAAACACTTACCCATAAATGGTAATTGTCCCGCCCTAATAGCTGACGCATTATAGTTTTATACTTCTATATAGGAGAGAGCGGGTTTGATTTACCCTCAGACAACATAGAGCAGACCGGGGGGGGGGGGGCATCACACCCACAGCCGCCTCGGCTGAAAGGCTGGGATAGAGACAAAATGTGATGTTTAAGCCGTTCGGTTTGAGTTATTAAGGAAATTAAACTCAGACCGTGGATATTTTAATAACTCCTAAAGTACTATCATAGATATTGTAGTTTCCTGTATTTAAACATTGTATTTTGTTGTATTCGATATATAAATATAGTTAACAACATAAACGGTGTTCCAGATTAAAATAATTGATCCCACAACGTGAAGTCAAAGAAAGCCCTAGGCGATAGTGTCACAGCCTATTTTTGTTTTGAGTCCTTGACCAGGATAGTCACGACGTAACACTACCCGTAGTGTCGCACACTTTCTAAGACTTTGTGAAAATTATACGGATTTAAGAGTTCTGTATACATTGATCACATACTTTGGTTAGAGAGAATCAATCTTGCACAGTTTACAAAGTAAATTACATGATGTTATAAGTATATCATGTATTTTTTAAAAGAGACAAATACATAACATCAAAATGAAAGAATTAAATCTAAACAAAAAGTAAAAATTACCCGCTACAAAATTGGGCCTTACCAAAGAATAAATTTAAATTACTTAATAAAACTAAAGAAACTCTATCTCTTATATATTTATGTTTGATTAGAATTATTTGTATGGGTAATAATAATAACATATTTTATTTCTAGTTTGTTCACCGATTGCTAACTGTAACCAGGAAACCTGTACCAGTAAAACAAACCAACTCTGTAGTAGATGTGGAGGTGTTGTAGGCGAACAGCCTGGTTTTAGAGCTTATGTTGTATCGACAGATCGTAAACAATGTAACAGTACGTATTTACTTATATTAATATGTTTGAGAACCTGTGTAAACAGTGTAACAGAATGCATTTTCTTATATATTAATAATGTTTGAGTACCTGTGTCTTAATTATAGAAAGTGAAGACCTAAAAAACAAAAATACAATTTCAAATCTAAATTTGAATAAAGGTTTTTTTATTGTCCCCGCCTTTCGAAGAAACCAGGAGACTGTTAAAATCGGTTCGCCCGTCTGTCTGTCTGTCCGTCACACTTTTTGGAACACACTAACTTTAATTCTAATTGAGCTAGAATGTTCAAACTTGGTGTAGGTGTTTATTAAGTCAATGCCTTGATAGAGTACGAAGAAGAGCATTTTCTGCTTAGGGTAAGCAGAGATATTCAATTTGATTGGTTGATGCTTTGGGACGATAACTTTAATTCTAATTAAGTGAGAGTGATGAAACTTGGTGTATAATTTCATTACATCAATACCTTAACAATATTCGATGCTGAGCATGTTCTGCTTAGGCAAAGTAGAGACTCCAATCTGATTGGTCGAGACTTTGGAACACAATAACTCTCCTTCTAATTGACATGCAGAGATGAGCAATGTGACTGGTTGAGACTTTGGGACATGATAACTTTGGTTAGCACGCACGCGTTGTATCATACGGTCTGTCATTGAGTCTGTGCGTGACAAGGAGTAGGGTCGCCTGTCCAACCTCGTGGGTTTTCTCCGGGTCCTCTGGTTTCCTCCCACTGCTAAAGACCCCTATGCGCAAGCGAATTATTGAAATAAAATTGAACCATGTGTTAGTCCCGAAATGACCGAGTGGACGTTACCCCCCCTCTCTCTCTCTCTCTCTCTCTCTCTCTCTCTCTATCTCTCTCTCTTATTCTGCTGTAAAGGTTAGAACTACCGGAAAATTCACAACAAAACGAAAAAAATGGTATGTGCTGATAATACTTGAAGGCGTCTATTTTGAATGCCATTTAGTCATGTCTGCTATTCACTTCACTGAACATTCGCTTATCTGTATTAATACATCTATGCTGATGAAATAATAATAGTTTTTCGACATTAACTATGCCAATTGTGGAGGGAGTGTATACAATAGTGACTTTGCCAGAGGCCGCGGAAATCCTGAAAAAGTGAATATTACATTTGTTCCACATTTTGCCACCTAGTGATGCTAATTTCGTAATCTACACCAAACGTTGTCTTAGATTACAAAGTTAAAGAGTTCTACTCCTATTAAAATTGTGAGTTTAAATCACCGGAAAACTGACAATAATTACTGATTTTATAGACTTTTTGACCTAGAGAAGTAAATTTCGGACTTGTTAGTTCAAGGTCATGTACTATAAGATATATTTTTTAATTATTTTTTTTTGGGGGGGGGGGGGGGGCGGGGGGGGGGGGGGGCATGTTCTCACCATTCTTCCAGTTCATATGGAATGACCCAAAACAGAAAAAAAACCACATTCGTTATTTAATATTTTTATTGTTGGGTTTCTGTCAGTTTCAATTTTTCCGAAAGGAAAAATAGTAATATTTATAATAAAACAGACTGAATTTAAAAATATCATTTGAAATATCAAAGAAACCGTGTTTTATTTATTTATTTATTATTTATACCTTTTCTATCAAAATTAGATATCCAGATAATTTAATTTCTGTGGCTTTCTGCAATGTCTAGCCTAGAATAGAAGGAGAACGACTGAACTCTTCAGAGTTACCCAATTCTTAAAAATGGACCTTTGCCGCCAATGACTTATACGCCATTGTTTGCCGCATTTTACATTTTATTTTTGCCAGGTTTTCCGTCCTACACCACTGACAAGGGCAGACCACGCTGGATGGAAAATGCCGAGGAACTTTCTCGGCCAACACTGGGAACGAACCCAAGACCTGGTTAGGGAGCCAGTGCCATATTCACTAAGCCACCGCGGCTCCTTGACGATTGGTCGACCTACACATATTCAAAGTGTTCAGCACTTAGTAGGCCCGTGGGTGTATTAGGGCTATATCTTGAATACAATATTATACATAAATAAATGGATTTATAGGCCTAAATAGTATAGAACAAAATCCAGAATAAATGGATTTATAGGCCTGGATTGCAACAAGTAGTGGTATTTTAAGGAATCCGTGGATGAATGAAGAAACATAAACACAAACTAGAGATCAATGAATAATTTATAGTAAAATATATCTGGATCAAACAAGACAAAACATGAAAAATCAATGAAGGATAATAATATGACGATTATCATTTTTATACAAAAAAAGAAAGAAAAAGAATTAAGTAAATAGAAGACATTTTAAATATACACCTTCTGGCATTATCAGCACATAGCATTTCTTCGTTTCGTTGTGAATTTTCCTGCAGTTCTAAATTTTACAACATTATCCCAATTTTTCGCGTACGCTGCTTTGAGAGAATCACAGACAACAGTGATCCAAGTAATTACTGCAATAAAATACGGCTATTGCTGATTTGCTTAAAAAAAGACATGATTTTTCAAAATTCAATATCCATCAATCAATTTATTTTAGAGAAACGAAACTCTTTTCTGATATTCCAAGGATAAGAAAATATCATTTATTATTGTTCAACATTACAATGTTATACAATAAATAGTGTATTACAAACTATTTCATTGTCTTCTGTTTTTTTTCTATTTAAAGAGGCGTGTTCATGGCGGAGTGACAGTACACCATGTTATCCTGGAACATGTCAGGATGAACTAGTAGAGAACTGTAATTGTAGCCGAGGATTTAATGGAACAAAATGTGATAACAGTAAGATATTATAATTATATAAGATCATTTATAACAATTTAAAAGTGTACAATTTAAACATATGACTCTTTTGGAATAACAAAAGACTTATTACTAAGATCTTTTAAAATCTTATTATTTAATTGCTGTTCAACTGCAGACGAAAACAACGTTATTTTTGTTCATTTATTTTAGGTACTATAACACGCAATATTTTATTTTAGTTATGGAAGGACCCACTATAACACGCAATATTTTATTGTAGTTATGGAAGGACCCACTATAACACGCAATATTTTATTGTAGTTATGGAAGGACCTACTATAACACGCAATATTTTATTTTAGTTATGGAAGGACCTACTATAACGCGCAATATTTTATTTTAGTTATGGAAGGACGTACTATAACGCGCAATATTTTATTTTAGTTATGGAAGAACCGACTATAATATTTTATTTTAGTCATGAAAGGATCGACTACAAAACTCAATATTTTATGGACAGACTTACCATAAAACATACTATTTTATGAAAGGAAATGCTATAATAGATACTATTTGATTTTAGTTATTGAAGGACCCACTATAACACATAATATTTTACTTTAGTTATTGAAGGATCTACTATAACACATAATATTTTACTTTAGTTATTGAAGGATCTACTATAACACATAATATTTTACTTTAGTTATTGAAGGATCTACTATAACACATAATATTTTACTTTAGTTATTGAAGGATCTACTATAACACATAATATTTTACTTTAGTTATTGAAGGATCTACTATAACACATAATATTTTACTTTAGTTATTGAAGGATCTACTATAACACAAAATATTTTACTATAGTTATTAAAGGTTTTTCTATAATACATAATATTTCACTTTAGTTGTGGAGGGACGTCCTAATATTTATTTTAGTTATGAGAGGACCTAGTCTAATACACAATATTATACTTTAGTTATGGAAGGACCGACTATAATGCACAATATTTTACGTATAAGAGGAAGTAATGGCGATATAACAGAAGTACCTAGTAATAGTAATGCCGGACCACCACAATATATTGTATGGACACATATTCTGAATCCAGTCAGTCTTGACTTTAGTTTTACTGCTATATATACACCTGATGTTCCTACAACCAGTCATCCAGCTTATATTAAAGATTTTAAAGTTGGTATAATTGGAGGAGAGGTTACACTGAAAATAGGTTTGTTACTTATCAATTAGACAAATAACCAAATACTCGGATTACTCCTTTAAAAGATTTTATAATTCTTTGATTCATACACTTACACAGTAATATCCCGACTTCAGGTTATAAATGAAAGCCAAAAAACATTCATTATCAAATGTCATTCTAGATCACAAATACTTCAGGAACGTAATTGAAATCCAATCTGTGATTATTTACAGCTAACGACACAGATGCTATCACTGTTCCATGTTTTATTAATGCTAGCCAAGATAACCCAATACAGCGGATCATCACATGTAGACAGATATTTACAAATCTAACAGAGTTATCTGCACTTTCTAATCATCACGATATGTAAGTGTTAGACTCTTACAATCATAAAGAATGTTATGGGGAGAAATATAAATGGATAGTCGTAACTGAAGATACAAATATATTTAGAAAGAGATGTAATCTCTATGTCAACTCTTTAAATGAAATGTGGTATCAGGTCTTCTTGAACGAGTAAACGTACCATCTCTCGTGAAAAATACATGTCATAGCTTACAGCTGTAGTAACATGGACTTGGATTTCAGAAGCCGGATCTAGTAACTTTCTGAGATATCAGCTACATTGCTCCAGGAACAGCCATTGCTACTTCTAGTTATGTAGTTATACTTATACAATACCGTGAATATGAGAGAGAGAGAGAGGGGGGGGGGGAGAGAGAGGGGCTTAACGTCCAATTGACACAAACTAGGTCATTTCGGGACTAACCAGTCGGAGCAGTGATTATGTATAAGAGACAGGCGGGCTTGTCAGAATGTCTCGGGTCCGCTCTCCGTGGTTTCCCATTGTCAGTGGTGCAGGGCTGAGAGCACAGCTGTCTAGTCCTTCGGGTGGCACGAAAACCCGGGATCCCGTGTAAACATTGACGTCTACGTAAAAGAATTTGAATTCGTAGCGCACAATGTAAGTCCATGAACACGGTATTGTGTATGTCGGACTTCGTTTGAACTCACATAGTATTTTGTTTAGATAGTACTCTGGCAATTTCAGTCTATACTTAATGTCTTTCCTTGTAATCATTTCAGGTTAGAAGTGAGTTTCTCGGTATCAAATGGTGGATTTGTAGTGATAGAAGATATAGAAAGAAACATCATCACAAAGAAATATTTAAATGGTTCTACTCGGACTCATACTTTTCTGGTTGGTTTTCATAATTTAACTATATAATAATGTATGTAGACAATCCTGTGGTGTATCATTTATTTATACTAAAATGTTGCTTGTATATTACTTATATATTTGTATGTCTAATGAATTATTGAAATGAACACAGCTAGTTCAATATTATTCGTAAACTGTTCTGATGGTCGTAATTCTTAAATTTATATTATTATTGTTGTCTCTATTATACTTGTGTTTTAATGAAAATGAAATGAACTGAAATATAATGATGTCTAACGTCCGACTGTTCTACAATAAAGACCGTTGTTTTAATGGACTACATATGGTAATGGAATGCTTTGTATGTGTAACACTTTATTTTAGAATTTATTTATGATATACAGTATCTGTAAAGCAATGGTGTAATGTTACATTATCGTTTATAACATACATAGATATAACAGTCGGTTCCCAATCAAATGGTCCCGCGTGAATTACACATTAACCTTGGTCACAAGACAACTGATCCAAGAGAAAAATTATGTCAGGTTTCCCGGCAACATTATCTTTGTCTTATTCTTTACAGATAAATGTCGACACTAGCGCACCTGTTGAAGGCCGTATATATGATGGGGATGTTGAAAGACTGGAAGTTGATAAGAAAATAGATCTTGGAAAACCGGAAATTCATAATAAAACGGATCGTGTAAAACCGGAAGTTGATAGTAAAACGAATCATGAAATGTTTTCTTACTGGAAGGATTTCTATGATAGAGAAAGTGGGATCAAGTTTTATCAATATGGATTTGCGCCTAAATGCTTGGACAGTGGGAACTTTAACATTGATCTCAATAAAAGAAAGGTAATAGAAATTATATTGTACAATAATGGCTGAAATTCAAATTATTTTTGCCTAACAATCCAGAGGTGAGCATGTAAAAAAAATAACTGATGCTTTTTAATTCGGTATATAATCGAATGACTAATGCTTAAAATATGATGTATACTATCTGTTAAAAATAAATATATTCGAAAATAGCTGCATCACGATGACTAATATGTATAATTACGGAATACAGAAATGCGACCGATTAATACTATGGATGACAAGGGTTAATGGAGAACAGCTAGTCACAAATATTGAACTATCTAGACCATGTTTGTTCCAATTTCCTCTCCCATTAAAGCAGTTTGTATTTGTTTTTGTTTTTTAGGATATTATTCAAACAACAGCTACTTATGCTTCCTGGGCAGCAAAATCTGATTCGAAATATGTCATTACTGTGGTGGCCTATAACGGAGCCCTACAACCTTCCAAACCAGTCTGTAAGTACTTTGAAACATCAACACAAACTTTGCCATAACACATCATCAAGATAATGCGCGCCTTATAGTAACTTATACAGAAATGGGAATTTACTCGTCTACCGACACGTCGTGTGAAACACGTCCCTTGGAACTCAATCTGATTAAAACACAGATCCTATTTCGTTTCGTTTTTTTATAGTTCAAAAATTCGTTTTACTTGTCTTTACTACACTAGGATCTGGAAGATTTGTTATCATTGACGAATTTTGGATGATGTTAGGGAATAGCCAATGAAAAGGTTTGTTACGGCGAGCTTTGGTGTGAGGTGCACGGAACTATGGGTAATCCACTAAAAACATCAATGCTGATTGGTTAAATGTTTGACGTAATACGGACAAAAGTCGCTCGTATGACCTCTGACGCGACCTCCTAAAACAACTGACCAGATCTTCATGTAGTGTAGGCCATCGAAAGTATAAAAAACGAAAATAAATATAGATCTATATTTTAATCAGATTTTTTGGAACTAAGAGCACACGTTAGCTACAAACAGACTTACCTTCGTGAATCTGACACTTTTTCCAGTGTACCGTACCCCATTTGATAACTGGTTGACAATATCAACATTATGAATAGTTAACAAAAACGATTAAATTCAAATTTAATATCCTGTAATAATTATTTGTTCGTAATTAGATGGTCGGATATTGCACACATCCACGCACATCTAAAGCGCAATTATGAGCTCACTTAAAACAAAAAAATTGATGGTAAAGATGCCAATATCCAGTAAAATGAATTTGAGTTTTTGACCAACTGGAAAAGATCGTTCCAGTTAAGAGTAACTGAATATTGTTTTCTGGTTTAAAGACAACTTGATTTACTTTTATCTTTTATAAGGTGAATATGAAGCTGACACGTCACTCTTCACCGACTGGGTTTTAATATCAGGTATAACAGTCGCAGTGGTAGTTGTTATCGTTGGTGTCGTCGTTATTGTTGTCGTTGTGACATGGAAAATAAAACGGGTTAAACCCAAGGAAGGTTGGTTTTAGATAGTAATACATATATTTAATAGGTTCTCACTGTTTATTCTGCAACTAGATCAAGTGGGTCTATAACAAATCTAGATCTAATTATAACTATTTTATAGCAGCCCCGATGGGTTTATATTTAAAGGATACATGGCGATATTGTTTTTATCTTTTTCTTTTGTATGTATGTGTGTGTGTGTGCGTTTGTATATGGTGTATATACAACTGGCGGTAGTTTTTTCTTTGATGTCCATAGCAGTTATATCTCACAACAACCCGTCATGACGTCATCACAGGTTGATATATTCGTTCATATCAACCGCTGATGACGTCATGACAGGTTGATATTTCATATCAACCGCTAATGACGTCATCTCAGGTCGATATATTCAGCTCATATCAACCGCTGATGACAAAGATGATCGAAATAAAACAAAAAACACAGAAATAAATTTTTATTCTTTTGACAATTAAAAATTGTTATGGTACAGTTTGTAACATTCCGGGCCGAAATAGACGGCGTACTTATCGGCATATTTAAATCGATTATCCATACTCCATGTCTAAGATATCTTTCAGAATTTTCTTTCCGTCCACACACTCCTAGACTTGAAATTATTTATCGCTCAAGAGTTCCTTTATATAGTATTTTAAAACAGTCGGTCAAATCCTTCCCTGAACATACCGAAAACCTTCAATCAGGGTTCACTGTCAGAATTATCGCAAAAGAATACCTTTTAATGCAAATTTTCTTCAGGCTTTGGATAGATTCTCGTCGATATTTTCATTCACATCTATTCCATCGTCAATATGTTGGCTTAAAAGGATTGATTATTCGTCTGACTTCGTATTACTATCCATTTTGTTTTGCGTTAATTCAATACTCCAAAATGGCGACGTATAAACAAAAACATGCACGTAATTGCACGTGATTAATTCGGTAATTTTCGTTATTTGACGGAAACTACCGAGCAGTTATCCAATCATTGTTGACTTTGAATGGAAGAACCCATTCAATCTTAGGGTGAAATGGCGTCGTATATGTAGGATATAAACCTACTCTCCCTCGGATTGATAGGGTAGAGAACACTTGGCCTTCGCCCTCGCGTTCTCTACCATATCAACCTCGGGTAGGTTAATATCCTTTAAAATACAGATGTGACGTCATCATTTGATGTTGGAGTACCATTATTTCAAATAATCGTACGGGCAATGTGCCAAGCGTAACTTGATAAAATATTGAACTCGAGTGACGTATTTCATTGCAAAGCACGTGCAAGTGTCTGTATTTTAAGTTGTTTAATGGTCTCGAGCTTAAGACATTGCGTAATATATTATAAAAATATTCGGGCCTCACGGCCCTCATGTTGTTACAATATATTACTTAATGTCTCGCTCTCGACCATTAAACAATACATACATATCGGGGACACACATCTGAATACACACCTTCTAATCGTGGACCTGTGTCAACCGATTACGTCCTCGGTTCAACCGACGACTTTTTGAACTAAATCCAGGACTATAACGATGTTCACAATCACCCGGATTTAATATCTCATTTGAATGTCGGGTCGATCTGGGGTGTTCCGCGTTAGGTGGTATTCTACAGTTAGGGTGTATCTTTCGAGTGTGTGATCTGAAAAAATGAAAAGTATGATTTTGTGTATCAAGTTCTCGGTTAGTGTTTATTGGACAACTAGAGTATCAAGTCCTCGGTTGATCTACGTCTACCATACACATCATAATATGGTCACATGGGAGAAATAAGTTGTTATTTCAACGATAATCAAGCCTACATAAGGCAAGTTTTACTATTATTATCATCATACCTTTGACAAAAAAACCCAATGACCTGTGCAGGAAAACCGTTCGATGTTAAAAAAAAACAAGCCATCTAGTCATTAAATCACTTCTGACTGAATTTTCGAAGTTTTTACCTGACGTAACGTAAAACATTATTGCCGAAATAATAAGGATAACATAATAAGTAATCAACAATTGAAATATTAATAAGTCGCATAAGTTCAAGTAGTGACACTTGTTAGCACGTGTTACTGTTAAGCCTAGTTTTATATAATGCCTAGGTTCCATTTCTCACGGGACTACTCCATGGTTTGGGGCAAAATTAGTTTATTTCCATATCGCCGATGATTTTTCCCCAGTGGGACCTAGACATTAGTTCGTCAAATATAGTTCGTGATCGGCAATACTATATACCGGAAAACACCGGAAAACAACCGGAAAACACCGGAAAACAACCGGTGTCCGGAAAACACCGGAAAACAACCGGAAAACACCGGAAAACAACCGGAAAACACCATTTTATACTGAATAGCGGAAAACAAGGGAAAAACACTAAATACCGGAAAACATCCTAAATACCGGAAAACACCCTAAATAGGTAACCCGGAGCCTGGTCCTCTGTGTGCGGTTTTGGACCAAGTGAGAGCCGATGAAGGAAGGTCAAGGTCATTACGATGTTCGTTTTACAAATAGCCCCCCCCCCCCAAAAAAAAAAAAAAAAAAAATTTCCGATTTTTTTTTCTCCAAACTTTTGTTGATGCCTATTATGTTTTGAATGTTTTAAAAGTCTACCTCCATCATTGACCATATTATATTTTGTATTTTGATTTTTGTTTTCAGTAAATTTCAGTAAATTTCAGTGTTTCAGTATGTCAGTAGATTAAAAACTGCCCTCGGAGGGCCCCATTATATGCCGGTTGCGCCGGTCTCCTGATTCTTACCAGTAACGCTGGAATCAGGGTGGTACAAATTAGTGGAAGGCGCGACTAGGCCAACTCCTCCCTAGGTAACAAAAAAATCGCATCATAAAACAGCAAGTATCATCAAAAGCGAGTTAATAAATCTCAGAATAGTTCGAGTTGAAGTTCAAGGTTTAACCGCTATGTGTCCTAATCACCAAACGAAATGGATGCCACGCAATTCTTGGACAGGCTGTAATCTGAAAAGTGTCTATCCTTTCCAAGAGCTATCCATCTCGTTGGAAGGGCTAAAAATCTACTTGTTTCTGAGCTTACTTTCATTCCAGGATCAAATATAATCACTTGAATCATAATAATATTCAACATATTCCATCATATTCCGAGGGCCACACACATGATTTTTTTTCTGGATTACTTTTCGAGCTTTTTTCCCCAACTTGTTGACCAGTTTTCCTTGAGAAAACCCCAACTTTCGCCCAATTGTCCATGAGAAAAGTACATATTCTATCTTACTACATTGACGGGAAGTGGTAAGCTGGACGTCTGTAAAAAGGGTTGATCGATAAATTTTCAAGGAATGAATTGTTGTTTTTGTTTGTGAAATAGAGGACTCTAGCCGATGAGGCTACTTTCTCCCAGAACCTCAGGCAACCAATTTGTTTTATGTACTATTATCGTAATAAAACATTACTATGTTATCCACTTCCTGGTGACTGAAGACTTACACCGAATGCGTATTCGGAAAAAAATGTCCCCGAGAAAATGTTTTTTCCGACAATCGATATTCGAGATGTCTTCTGTTGCACAAATTATACTGCACTGTGTAAGAACTTGCATCCTTTGATCTGAAGATTGTAGATGGAAAAGTATCATTTGCACTATTTCAAAGTAAACCTGCATTTTCGTATATCATCCCGTAATTTGTGATTAATGACAATGACTGTAGAAATAATATGGCTTGAGGAACGAGAGATCTATGTTCGTCACGTGACTGGACAATTCCACCCCCGTCCCAGTCTGACGATGATCCCCCCCGAAGCGGCGCGGCGCGGCGCGCTCTCTAGAAAAATCTCGGGCACAGTTTACTCTTCTAAGTTTTCCGGTCGCTATTTAGTAACCCGGAGTTTGGTCCTCGTGTGTGGTTTTGGACCAGGTGGGCGCTGATGAAATAAGTTCACCCCCGTCCCACCCTGACGATGATCCCTCCCGGAGCGGCGCGGCGCGCTCTCTAAAAAAAATCGGAATTTTCAGATTTTTTTAAACAATTTCTTCTCCAAAATTTCTCTCAAAAAAAAAAAATTCAAAATTTTTTTCCAGTATTTTTCTCTGTAAAATTATTTTCTACGGAATGTTTTTTTGTAAAACCAATTTTTCGGAAAAATTCTATTTTTTTTTTTTGGTGACAGAAAATTTTTTCGTCAAAAAAATTTTGGAGAAAAAAAAAATCGGACTTTTTTGGGGGGTGGGTGGTGGGGTGGGGGCTATTTGTAAAACGAACATCGTAATGACCTTGACCTTCCTTCATCGGCGCTCACTTGGTCCAAAACCGCACACAGAGGACCAGGCTCCGGGTTACCTATTTAGGGTGTTTTCCGGTATTTAGGATGTTTTCCGGTATTTAGTGTTTTTCCGGTGTTTTCCGGTATTCAGTATAAAATGGTGTTTTCCGGTTGTTTTCCGGTGTTTTCCTGTGTTTTCCGGTATATAGTATGGCCCGTTAGTGATCAGCTATTTTCCAAATTGTACAAAAGAACTCAATATAAAAGACTAGGTTTTGTTATAGGTCCCCATTCACCACGGTGGAAGCGGGGGTAAAATACAACTAACAAACAACAACAACATACATGCCCTTTGCGCACTACATGAAATTATTTGTCTTGGCAAATCTAGTCCGAATTGAAAAAAAAAAACAACCTACAAATACAGGATCACTCTAAATTTAGTTTTCTTTCATTTTCTGAACAGTTGGTAAAAAATGTTATTTTCTTGGTGATTGATACGTGTTTTATCACCCAAAATAACAAAATATGTCATATCATATCTTACAGCGCTAGCTTTAAAATGGGCATTTTATCATATTCAACGCTCTTAAAAGAGTTTGTTACATTCTTTGCTTCAGCTTCATATGTACATACAATATTTTCGATAAAGATATGTTAGGAGTTATTGAAGCTTGGTCAATGCAAATATACTTTTCCCGTTTTTATATAATAAATGACATGCTTCAATATACCTTACCAGTGTTTTCCGGTAGTTTTCCGGTGTTTTTCGGTTGTTTTCCGGTATATAGTATAGCCCGGAAAAAACTTGGCAGAGTGATACTTGTTGTACTTTCAGGGATTTGTAGAGCGCCCAATAACAATATTATTGTACTGTTTTAAATTGTAGATTTTATTTATTATTCTATTCATTCATGTAAAACCAATTTATTACCATTTTATAATAAAATGTATAAAACTCCCGACTTAGAGTTTTGACTAGCATATGAGAGTGAATTTATGGAAAATACGGAGGCTTATATATGTATAGTTTACAAGCAGTATCACAATATAACCGAATTATTTACTGTCCTCGTTGCATCGATTCAAATCACAAATCCGCCCACGCTAGAAAACTGCAAATCGGAAGATCTTGGTTTATAAAAAGAATTCACTTTCCATTCCATAAATATTCCAGTCAATTATAGATTTATCTATTTTTGGATTTGGGAAAATGATTTCTTTTTCCAAATATCACCTTAAACACAGTTCGACTTAGGAAACCACCAAACTATAAATACGTGGATAATGCCGTGATAGCTTAAACCGCCATTGTTATTCATTGTCGCGTTACCCACGGGGAAAACGCAATTCTTCCCACAACTTATTTAATAGTGGTTCAACTCTGAACGTAGTTTCCCTGTACATCCAGGAACCGCCCTATTTAATCCTTGTCGAAAAACGTTCGAACCCCAGTCAAATTTACTGGGCAACTTTTTACTGTAATCGGCCGCGTGTCAGTCAATGTGAACGCCTGTACAATGTCAATGTAAAGGAAAATTATAGTGAGAAAATAAGATCTTGCTTACCTCGCTCGAGTCAGTATATGCACGACCCCTTATGCTAAACAGCTTGGCAGAATCCACTGAAATCTACATATAGGGTAACGCACAAATTTACTTGATGAAACGAAAGTTATGTAAGCAGGGGGGTGGGGGTGGGGGAGTTGGTATCGATTGAGGCATCGATTGTTTACATACAGGCTGTAAGACCTCAGTAAAATTGGTTTAAAAAATTAGAAGTTTAAGTGGCTGAATCAATACAAAATTATTTTTTCAATGGGCTGCTAATGTGGTCAAAGGGGGTCTATTTTAGGATATAGAGTGTTCAACCCACTCAATCACGTTTTTAGCTTGTGAACACTGTAGAGGACACAATCTTTATCCGATTTGGTTAAAACTTGAAATGTATGTTTATAACCCACGGATCTCGGTTCCTTTCGATATTCGCGCATATCGGACCATTACTTCCTGAATTATAGCCCCTAATTGTACGAAAAGTCGCGTTTTTAGCTTGTAGACCCTATAGATGTCACAATTTTTATCCGATTTAAAAAAACAACATTTGAATATATCACCGTTACATCCTAAGGATGGTTAAGTTCGAATTTCGTAAAAATCGGACCGAAACCGACGGACAAAATGGCCGCCCCTCGTCCGCAAATAGTGTCAAAATATTGTGTATCAGGGTTGTGGACCCTCTAGAGGTCACAATTTTGATCCGATTTGGCAGAAACTTGAAATACATGTTTATAACTCAAAGATATTGGTTCCTTAGATATTCACGCATATCGGATTGTAACGTCCTGAATTATGGCCCTTGATTGAACAAAAAACGTGTGAATATATCACCATTACACACTAAGATCTTGGTTCCTTTTGATAAATGTGGATACCCGAACTTAACTTCCTGGATTATAGCCCCTGATTGTTCGAAAAATCGCATTTTTAGCTTGCGGATTCTCTAGAGGTCACAATTTTTTTCCGATTTTAAAAACCGTTTAAATACATCACCATTCCACCATAATAAAGTTTGAATTCGAATTTCGGGAAAATGGCCGTTCTTTGTACGCAAATTGTGTAGAAGTGTGTAATACGATGGTTGTGGACCCTCTAGAGGTCACAATTTTTATCCGATTTTGATGAAACTTAAAAAATATCTTTATATCCCAGAGATCTCAGTCCCTTTTGATATTTGCACATTTCAGGCCATAACTTTCTGGATTATTGCCCCTGATTGTACAAAAATTCGTGTTTGATTTTAGCTTGTTCTCTATCCATCTCTTGAAAATGTGGGCGTATCCTGCTTGGCATCCGCTGGTAAACAGTTATATTGTCTTTATTTCCCATGTGTGATCAAAGGGGGGGGGGGGGAACAGTATGATAGTATAGAGCAGATGACCTCGTTTGGCGGCGTTCCAACATACACCATGCGTGTCCTCGATTGGGCGTATTTCTTCAATTATTTGCAACATCCTGTATGTCTGCATTTCTTCTGTAAAACGTTTAATACAGAAAATATATAAATTGAGGAATTATTTATATATTTTTCAAATCGTTTGATGTACTTGAGTTCAGACATAACTGTGTTTTTTTAGTTACATGCAATATTTATCAAGACCTCGATTAGAAGCATCCACTCAAAGTCCTCGATTTACACCATAAACATGTATGTGTGTGTGTAGGTGGCGGGAAGCTGGGGATGGATATATTTTGGCTCGTTACGATTTAGGTTAGTAAAATCGAAGAGCTAATGGTTGATTTGCTTGAATATTAAATATTGTTCAACAATCATATATTACATCTTTATTAAACTTGACTACGACTGTACACCAAGGGTATTAACCCGCGTCAATATATTTTATATTGTAGACGACCCATCATCAGTGTATGCGGGTTTAGAGATGGAAACAAGAGCTGAAAACAGCGTAGAGTCAGTTTATCAGGGTTTAGATAATTCCTTGGCATGTCAGCCATCATCGAATAAACCTGACATTATCTATAACAATGTACCAACTTCCACTGTACAGGAAGCCTCAGATTAAGTAACTTCCATCTTCATAATGAGAATATGTATCGACCAACTTCCATTGTACAGGAAGCTCCTCGGATAAACTAACTTCCATCTTCACAATGTGAATATGTATCGAGAGTATTTGTACAATTAGAGATTGGTTGTAAATATAATATTTATTGACATTGTTACTAATATTGTAACCAGTGTCTTATTAGTTGAGCCACGTGTCTATTATTCAAGTGTCTTACTCGTTGAGTCACCGTGAGTATCGATGTAAACGCGCAAATATATACAAAATCCCAGTTGTGTTAACCAGTACATTCTAAAGGTAGCCTGGTATGGCGATTACGTTCTTCAGCAAGGGATCAAATGTTGTTCATAATTTAGAGGTGTTGCTCAACAAGTGACAATTCTGTGTTAACTGTAAGGACCAGTTTGAATATATATTCAGTCTAATGTCATGTATTTAGTATCTCTCCAAACGAGGAAATATATCTGTTACATATAGTTTAGTACTATTATTATTTAAAATACAAATGTGACGTCATCCTTTGATGTTGGAGTACTATTATTTCAAATAATCGTACGGGCAATGTGCCAAGCGTAACTTGGTAAAATATTGAACTCGAGTGACGTTTTTCATTGCAAAGCACGTGCAAGTGTCTGTATTTTAAGTTGTTTAATGGTCTCGAGCTTAAGACATTGCGTAATACATTGTAAAAACATTCGGGCCTCACGGCCCTCATGTTGTTATAATATATTACTTAATGTCTCGCTCTCGACCATTAAACAATACTTAATATACCCTATGTATATCAGTTACTTATATTTTGGTAATTTTACTATTTAATATAAACTAAGTTTATTTCCATATATCCATTTATGTTACTTATATTTTAGTACTTTTACTATTTAATAATACCCTAATTTTCCATATTATTATGGATTTTGTCGTATTTATGTTTTGTATTTTTATCAGTTCTAATGTAATAAAAGATGCGTATGTATATTTTATTTAGTCATGTGACCTTCACAAATTTGATTAAGTTGGTCATTTTGGTTTGTACCATTATTTTTTTTGTCAGTACAAACTTTTTATGTAATAACATATGCCTGATCCCGGTTATTCAAATCGGTAGTTTTCAGTTGATCGGCTAAGACCCCCACCCCCCAAGACTGTATCTGGGAGAACAAATCGAATCTTCAATTGAATTTTAGATAAGGAGTGACTGTGGCATGCGTAACCTAATTATGCCCCTATCACCTGTCTATTGTTTCCAATTTGAAATCATGTGAGGTAAACAAAAAGGGGCCTAGTAGTCTAGACTGTCGCGCTTCGGGTTCTAGCTAGCCAGTCACACCTCTGGCTTGCGAACGAGCTTTCGATCTCTTGTGTAAGCTTATGTGGCTTGGAGACAATTAGGGCGCCTACTCAACTTCGTTGGAAATGACATGGGGTTTAACGTCCTACTGGGATTGAAAATGAAATAAAATGGGGTTTAACGTCCTACTGGGATAATAAAGAGGGGTGTACGCCATACAGTGTGCTATGAAGGAAATCATGCCCGGGCAGCTATTATTATATCGAGTTCCAACTGCCAAGGGATCTTTTACGCGCATTCCAATGTATACACGGGGCCTCGGTTTTTCGTCCCATCCGAAAGACTAGACAGCTGTGGTTTCCCCTTGTCAGTGGTGCAGGACGTAGGGCCTGACAAGGGGAAACCACATCGGAAAATCCCGATGAACTTTCTCGGCCAATGCAAGAATCGAACACGCGACCTCCGGGCTAGCAAGCCAGGGTCTTATCCACTTAGTCACCGTGGCTCCCCAGCCTCGCTGGTTTACTCCGGGTACCCCGGTTTCCGGGCACAGGAAAGTCTCCTGCGTGTGCATTAAGTTAATAAAAAGACAGCTTTTCTGCAATATCACCCTCAGCCTCAGTGGAAGCGGACGTTCAACACCACGAACAACAACAGTAAAGGAATAATTACCGACACAAAAAATATAACTGCAAAATCGTTTTCAGTGACCCAAGTTTCAGTTATGGCGAAAATGTAGATGTTTTTTTTATCGTTAAGAAACTCACTAATCTTTTACGTCGCATTCAAAAGACCGAACGGATTAGAAGTCTTACTATCTGTAGGGATGGCGGGAAGAGGGATTCCTAACAAACATTTCAACTTAAAATGCTAGGTTCCCACTATCACTATTCGTGCTACGATTGATATCGTGGTTTTAACTGTTGAGTAATCGTGGTGATCCTATCAGGTCGCATCATATATTGAGGTCAGTCGTAGCAATCGTGTTGATCGTATCGAAGCGTATCTGAACGTATCTTGACGTACCAGATCGGGACAATCCTATCATCGTGCATCGCACGACAATTGGAACCTCAGATTAGTTGTTAAAACAATTGGTCTTTGATCAGTTGTAATTGATCACACGTTTATCTACAATAACTTAACGTTCAAACAACATCTACGTAAGTCAAACACAAACAAGTGATGGGGTAAATATAATTTATTAAACAATTACCGTATACCTAACCATGTAATCATATAACAAGCCCGTAACAAATGCCCATTGATCTCTCTCTGCATTGGCCAAGACTGAAGAATATAAGATTTACATACTACCTTAATCAAGTGTGGATGATTTACACGGTACCATCATCAGGAGTGAATGATTTACATACTACCTTAATCAAGTGTGGATGATTTTAGACGGTACCATCATTAGAGTTGGACGTATCTGATTTTCTAATCGCAATGGTCCGGTGACGACAGAACATTTCCGAGAGAACGATTGAAAACTTTTTGTTTTGTGCTACATAGACGAAAAAATTAGCCGAACTGTTGATGACGTCACCAACTATTCCAAGGGAGGTAAATGCCCTGGATATCTGTACTGATCATCTACACGATGAATATACTTACGATAGTCATTAACATTTTAGTCAAAGACCTAAGCTCAGTTTCATTCTCAGGGTTAGTGGCGCTAGATGCGACGTCATTAGGCAATTCGTCCTTCGTCGCATCTGGAGGATGATAGCCACGTACAGAATTAAAACCAATAATATGCGCAATAGGCGAAATATAACGGGACGCGCCACGAAGTTGTATGCATCAAAGAATTGCTGATTGTTCAAGTAGATCGGCTTGAATGTGAACTTTGGCATTGTCCTGTTGTACTGGTCATCATAGTACCATATACGTGTATTTGACATCAGAGTAAAGCCAACTGCCTAATATCCAACTACTGCCAGTGTCACCAGAGTCAGGACCAGACAAATTCTTTTATGTGTCACCCACAGTTTGACTTTTATTGGAAACAGTACGGCGATAAATCGTTCACAACAAATGACTAAAGATAACAGGCATGGGAGTCGACCAAATATAAACTCGAGAATCAGCGGATGGGCGAGCATAATGAGGTCGATGATTTTAGCAGTGACGGCATCAAATTTAGTCACCAGACACGGTATCTTTCTCAAGAACATAGTGATGAGAAACAAAGCATCAATAAGGGCAAGATAAGCTAAGATAATGTTAGTGGTGTAACGTCTCATCCTTCTACCAGATAAAATAATCAAGCTTAATATATTACCAATCAATACAATAGGTGGAATAATATAACAATCTATTACAGATTTCATTAAATCGGCTACTTCTTTCGTTATTATCTTCCATCCATTGTTCTCATATGCCGAATGTTCTGTGGAATTCATAGTAGCGTTTTGGTATAGAATTGTATTGTTCCAAGCCATGGGTTGGGTATGGATTAGAGTCGTAGAGGATACAGTATTCGTACTCAACGCCATGTTTTCGGTGTAGCTTGTTCTCTTGTAGGTAATATTTGCTTTAAATAAATATAGAAAAACGAAATACGACGAACTGACAAATAATAAATGAAATAATAATATTGATATCAATTGAAATTAAAATTTTTATTAACTATGTTTCTTGAAATATCAATCACAAAAACAATGGCGGGAGTGGGCTAACTCTACACTAATACGACTTCTGATAAACTCAGATTAATATACCAATATTCAGTTTACTGTCATAAACTCAGATTAACATACCTATATCCAGTCTACTGTCATAAAGTATGCAATCACTCCTATTTGAATATAGTGCTGGCATTTGATCAAATATGCTAGGTATTTTAGGTCCCGGAAGGTATTCAATCCCTGTACAGCCTCGAAGAAACACTGAACCAGCAAATAAAGTCAAAACATGAAGTTTGAGCAGAGGCATAAAATTGGTGAAACCACTCCCAAATTACTATAGCTGGTATAATTCAATAGGGAACCCAACAGCTTAGCTCTCTTTTGGTCATGTCCAAGTCGTCCAAACATTGAAGACAGTCAATGTCTGGTGTAGTCTCCACCAACCTGGATCACCTATTGAACTCTCCTCCTCATTGCCCCAATGAGACGCTGGGTCTGAGCTTGCGTTAGTTCATCCCATTTATTACTGGTGTCTGACGAGTCCTTCAGTGGATGTTAAAAGGCAAATAATGTCCAATATATCTTCAGTTGGATTCCGGTCGGTTAAGGTAGTGTAGCACCCCCCCCCTCACGCGCACGGCGTAGTCTAACGTAATCGTCCATGAATTTGTAAGAAGAGTATGATTGGTATCGTTGGCCATTTGGATTACCTCTAAATGTTTCCAGTGTAAGCTTACAGTCATATGAAATGCAACCCCAATGAATGAAGCCATCACCAGGATATTCCTCTGTGCGTATACAATGGTCCTACGTCTCCATACTCGTGATCAAGAAACGTCATGAACAATACAAGTGTACTAGAACGTCACGAGTATTTATATGTTGTTTTCGCAATGAAAGACAAATGGCCGAAAGATGGCGTTATGATTTTAAAATATTCTGCTCCAGGTCATTTTCCCTACAGCGGAAGTAGATATACCTTTTAATTACCTGGTACATGATAGTAGAATTTTATGATACGAGGCATGCTATCGCAGCGGCGGGTTACTGAAAGGAAAGGAAATAAACGTCCTACTATTCTGCTGCGACTGAGCTTATAAACAAGGAAACAATATTTATGCTAACCTTTAATAGGGTTTCCGCACTTTCTGTCAACAGGTTTTTTGTTAAAACGATAGTTTGGTCCACGTTGTTTTATTCTTGTGTTGCTAATTAAAATAATTACACGCAGTATTAGGAAACTAAACGTATCAATCGCGAAATTAGAAAACTTATTATGTTGGCGGCCTTGTTAAGACTTTTGATCAATCAGTGTTGGTTTTAGAGTAGCGAGAGAGAGAGAGAGAAATGGGGTTTAACGTCCACTCGACACAAACTAGGTCATTTCGGGGATTCGAAACCATGCCAGTAGACTCAATGACAGGCTTTATGAAACAGCGCGCACGTGCTAACCATTCAGCCATCCACCCCCCCCCCCGGATTTAGAGTAGCCGTCAACACATTGATTACAACTGCAATTAAAGTGGAAGTCCAAATATACTAAATATTTCGTCACAGACGTATGAGTCAATGGCAGCGAGAAATCTTAGATTTTTAACCGTTATAAAAACGTCTATATATCGGTCTGAAAATAGTAGGAACCGCTCACATATTAGTTGTAGTTTGATATTTTTATTTTCAGGTAGTTCTTGATATTTACTTGTTATTGGTTTGTGGTCATGTTTGACCAAATTCTTCATGGATGACAAGAACTTATCAACTTACATTATCTGGTTGTGTTCGGATCCGATGGTAGTAAGAACATCATTCTTGGTGTTTAGATTAGCTGGGCATGTTTTTGTTGAACACTTCCAGTAGATGGCATTTAGCATGCTTGACTTTATTTGGTATTTGTAGCCAATGTGTAGTAAATTTCGGTCGCCTTTGAAATAAATATAATTTTGACACAGACTATTTATATTAATATGGGGGGGGGGGGGAGAGAGAGAGAGAGAGAAATGGGGTTTAACGTCCACTCGACACAAACTAGGTCATTTC